AGCCCCCGGCGGCGCGCGCGGCCGCTACCGCCTGTGCAGCCCCGCGGGGCCCGGGCACCAGTGGGCGCCCGCCGCGCCCGGCGACGCCGTCCTGGTGGTGGAGGACGAGGGCGGCGGCGGCGGCGAGAGGGTGGCGGCCGTGGCGCGCCCGCCGGCGCTGGCGCCCTGGCTGCTGGGCACGCTGGTGGCCGTGCTGCTGGCCGCGCTGGCGCTGCTGCGGACGCTGCAGCTGAGCACGCTGTGGCTGGACCCCGTGGAGATGTACGTGCTGCGGGACTGCGGCTCGGAGGCCGAGCGGGAGGCCTGCAAGGCGCTGGAGCCCGTCCGGCAGCGCGGGGCCTTCGTGCTGTGCTCGCTGCTGCTGCTCGGCGCCGTGGCGCACGCCGCGCTGGCCGTCCTCTTCTACCAGGCCGTGGGGACCGTGGCCCCGGCCGTGCTGGGCGTGGCCGGCCTGGTGTTCCTGCTGGCGGAGGTGCTGCCCTTCGCCGTCAGCTCCCGGTGGGGGCTGCGGCTGGCTCCCCGGGGCCTCTGGCTGACCCAGCTCTGCATGCTGCTGACTTTCCCCGTCTCGCTGCCGCTGAGCAAAGTGCTGGAGCTGGCTCTGCGCCACGACACAAGCACGTGCCTCCTGCGCGAGAAGATCCTGGACATGGTGCGCAACTCCGACCCCTACAACGAGTTTGTGCGGGAGGAGTTCAGCAAGGGTGCCCTGCGCAACAAGACCGTCGAGGATGTGCTGACGCCGCTGGATGAGTGCTTCATGCTCAACGCCAGCACCACGCTGGACTTCAACAACATGTCCATGATCATGCAGAGCGGATACACGCGCATCCCTGTCTACGAGGACGAGCGCACCAACCTGGTGGACATGCTCTATGTCAAGGACCTGGCCATGGTGGACCCCGACGACTGCACCCCGCTCAGCACCATCATCAAGTTCTACAACCACCCGCTCCACTTCGTGTTCAACGACACCAAGCTGGACGCGGTGCTGGAGGAGTTCAAGCGAGGTAAAGGGGGTGCGCGCGGCACTCAGGCACGCACGATGCCCCGGGTTGTCCCGTTTAAGGATTTGGGGCACTGGCTTGTGAAACGGATCTGCCTGAGATTCGGGGGAGCCGCTGTCTAGGAGATCACGCCATTGGATGGTCCAGCTGTGCGCTGGGATGCCCCAGAATGCCCCAGGGGTCTTTCCTGGGGTTGCGCTGCAAGACCACCAGTAATGGCAGGCGAGCTTCTCTTGAAGGCGACTTGCCCGTCGCTGCGCAAGGAGGGCTCCATGCCCTTTCGGGCCCTGCAGAGCAACGGCTGTGCGGTGCACTGCTGAGCGTCGCTGTCAGTCTTCCTGGACTGAGTGTGTGCCTGGAAATTCCTGCAGTCAGTCGTCCACCCGCCCGGTGTTCCCTCGCAGATCCAGGTCCGTGGGGAATTCCTTGGCGGCCAGTCAATATGGGAGAAGGCTTCCTGAAGGCAGAAGCTTGGAAGGCCACAGTTGGGCAGATAAATCGGTGGCCCAGCTCAAACCTAGGAGGCTTCCAGGGCTGCAGGGTGGTGAGACGGGGTTCCCAGCATCTCTCCCATTCGTGCTGTGGGTGACTCTCCACAGGTTTTCAAGGCAGGAGGGCCCTCGCTCAGTTCACGGTGTGACCAGTTTTTAAAAAAAAAAAATACAGGCATCAGGTAATGGGAAGGCCAGAGACCTTGGAGCGCCTGCTTCAGTTGGAGCACTGGGCCAGTGGTTATGTGGCAGCCTCTTACGCAAGTGAATCCTAACTTGGTGCTGTGGACAGCCCTGTTTTCATGCTTTATGAGCCTTATCAGAACGGCTGTGCCAGACCCACAAAACAAGGGCTGAGTAAAATGATAACTTTTATGGGGCCAACTAATTGTGAGACTTCTGCCAGCTTTTGAACCCCGTGAACTTGCGACGCGTCCATCAGCGCTTGGCAGGGCCGGTGGCAAGGCGCGTGTCAGGTCCCGCTGCCCGCAGGGCTGTTCAGGGAGCTCAGCAGGGCTTTGAGAGCCAGGCTGCGTGGCTTTGATGGAGCTCCAGATGAAGATGGGGAGCCGCGGGTTGTCCAGCCCTGCGTTTTATTAATGGACGTTGCAGTTAGTTCCCATGATTGCTCTGCAAGGCCTGTGGCGGAACCCTGGGACAGTGTTCCCCACCCTCCAGATGCATTGGACTGCCCCCCCATCATCCCTGGCCAGCATAGCCAGTGAGATGATGGCCCTGGGGGCACCAGGCTCAGGAAGGCCACCTTAGAACAGGCGAGGTGTTTCTCCATAGCCGCTAGCGGAAAACCTTCAGGGAAAGTGGTAGAGGCAGGCAATCTGTCTTCCAGGAATTTGTTGCTGCGGATATGTATATCATCCTTGCAATTTACTCCTCCTCTTAGTTTCCTAGATCTTTCTGCCATTTATAGCACCTTTACTGCCTGAAAGGGAGCCAGCTTTATTCTAGTAGAGAAACTTTCCCTGTCTGGTTGCCCAGAAATGGTCAGTCCTCCCCACAGGTGACGGAGGGGAGGCTGTTTACATGCCTCGCAGACATCATAATGCCTGCAGTAACTTAAGCCCTGCAATTAAGTGTGTACAAACAAACCTTTTATGTTCCTCTCTGCTTCCCTTTGGGCGTAAACACAGGTGCTTGGTACAGAGCAGGGCAGAGGCTTGTTTAAGAGACTTGACTTCTCTTGACCTTATGTTGCATCCGCTGTGTGTGTGCATGAGAGAGAGAGAGAGAGAGAGAGAGAGAGAGAGCGCGCGCGCGCGCGCGCGCGCGCGCAAGCGAGCTCTGGTCCGTGTCTTCGTTGTTCACTAGTTCTCACTGCCTTAAGCCTGCAGACAGACCGTATCAGTCCAGATGGCCGGCCAGGGATTCCAGAATGAAACCCTTTTTCATTCAACATCATAAACCGTTGGCCGGGAAGGTTCTGTGCAGCTGCAGCCTGCCAGCACTTAACCACAGGTCCCCACCCCCGAAAGAGCAAGGCCTGGCATGAAAACAGGCCAACCTGTTTCTGTGGCAAGTCTAGCATGACTCTGACCAGCACTGCAAATTCCAGGGAAGCCTGGGACCAGTTGTAATAGTGACACTGTGTTGGAACTGGGTGAAACACTTGGCGCATGAGAACAAGCAAGGACTGTGCCACCTTGGTGGTTTCATTCTTTGCCCAAGTCGCTGCCTCTAGAAGAAATGCCGTAGTTGTAGGCAAGCTTCCCTGTGGCCTGGCAGGGGACCCACTACATGCAGCTTCCTCTGCGTGGCCACGCGGGGGCTGGGTCTGTTGTCGTCGCACCCCGTCCCGCCATTTCCAGCTTGCAGTGACCCTGCAGACGAACAGCACCGGTCCTTGCCAGCCCTCTTGCAGACTCCAGGCTGCAACTTCCTTCGTGGAGTGGAGCCGTCTCAGCGCTGGCCTTCCTCAGCCTTGGACATTCCCCAACAGGACCATCTGCTCCAGGGACTCTTGCTTTCTTGTGCCGTGTCAGTTTTGTTATTTTGGCTTTTAGGGAAAGTTCTGGCTTGGTCCGCTCTAGGACCACTTGCTTGTCTTTCTGTTGGTCCAGTGTATTTTCAGAGCTCTCTCCTAGCACCGGTTTTTTCAACACTTCCATTTTCTTCCTCTGAGCTTTCTTCGCTGTCTAGCTTTCGCACCCATAAATAGCAATTGGAAATACCGTGGTGTGAATTAGTTCGGTCTTGGTCTCCAGTGAAGCACCTTTGCCTTTAATGACCTTGTCTGTTTCCGTCATTGCTGCCTTTCCAGTACTTTGTTGTCTCCTGATTTCTTGGCCACAGCATCCCTTTGAAATGATGACGGAGCGAAAGTATGCACAATCACCCACAGCTTCAGTTTCTTCACTGTTGACATTAAAGTTGTGTAATTCTATTGTAGTCAATTTTTTTTCTGAACGTTCAGCTTCAGTCCTGCTTTTGCATGTTCTTTCTTCACTTTTATCAGGAGCCCTTTCAATTAATGGCCAATTCTGCCCAGTAATATGGTACCCTTTGCATATCTTAAATTATTGAAGTGTCTTCTGCCAATTTTCACTCCTCCTCCTGATTTTAATTCAGCCTTTCTTATGATATGTTCTGCAGCCAGATGGACTAGAGAGGGAGATAAAATGTACCTTTGTCTGACGCCTTTGACTGTAAGAAACCTTCTGTCCCCACCGTAGCTTTTTGTCCATGATACATCAGGGCAATTGAGTGCTGCAGCACCCCCAGGTATTCCTCTTCAAAGAATTCTGCTGTCTTTCTATGTCTTCTGCACAGTTCTTCTGCTTATTTCCATCTTAATTTTATTTTATTCTAGTCCAATAGTATAGTCTGAGCTTGGTCTTTCAGCATCCCTAATGTATGTTTGATTTTTCCTTTAGCCTGGAAAAGGTTCCTTGTTCTTCCTTTTCTGTTCTCTTGCATTTCTTTACACTGGTCATTCTAATAGTTATTTTTGTGCCTACATGAGAGTCACTGAAAAGCTACATTCAGAATTCTGACCCTGTTTCTGTTACCCTTCAACCGTCCTTACCCATTGTGTTTCTTCCATCTCACATCTAGGGAATAGCCGGAATCCTGCATCACCACGCCATTGTCATTTCCCCAGCTGTCTGTCCATGCTTTTTTTCACTAAAGCAAACCCAGTAGTTACTGAAAGTTCTTGAATATTGGGTTGGAAGGAAGGGCCCAAACCAAAGAGATTTAGATTCAAGTCCGTTTCTGATTTATTAATGTATTTAAAGTATTTTTATTCAGCTGTTTGACCCAAAAAGGCTAAGTAATGCATTTGGTAAAATGAGGCAGCCCCTGCCTGGCACCTTATAATCTAAAAAGGCATAGCAGACAAAGAAGAGATGGGGAGGGGAGAGGGGGAAATTACGTAGGCTTTCAGTGGGGCTGATGGAATTCGCCCACAATTCGCTGCACTACCTATTCCAAGTGGACTTAATTCCCCTCCACAGAAAGTATCAGTTCCACTACCAGCTGCATATGTCGTTTGCATGCATCCACTTTCAACCCTATACAAAAAAAGTTCACCCACTTGTTCTCTTCCCTCCCCACTGAATATCTTCCCACTGAAGGTACTGACAAAATCCCGAAAAGTAATAAACGCAGGGTGAGAGATGGGGGCTTGGCCGCCTACCAAGCCCCCTGCTTTTCTTTTTCCTTCTTGGAACAGTTAGACAATGCTTACAATATTAAGGGCAGACACCTTATGACCTGTGATGTGGCCGTGCAGAACGACCAGGCCTGCTGGCCCCCCCGCCCCCCCCGCCCCCCTCGCAGCGCCGGTCTCCTCCAGGGCCTCGCGTCATTGGACTCCTGGGCGATTAAGCTGCCTAAGAATCTTAGTTTTTCCTTCCTCCTCTCCACCAGCTCTGCAGGGTTGATTATCCTTACTCGGAACACTGCTACCACGTCTGGCGCGGGGCAGGGACTAGCAGTCTCCTTTCGATGTGCCGCAGCAGAGAAAGTAGCCGAGCATGTGGGGGAAATGCGCCTGCTTGCCCCCTTGGCCATCTCTCAGTGCTTCTGCAGCCAGTGGAGTTGCTCTGGTGTATTTATACCTTATTTGGCTTACATGCCGCTTTTCTACCCAGAAGTTTCCAATTAAAAAAATAATCAAACAGTAAAATACAAAACACAATAAAAATGTAACAATTGCCAAACAAAAACATGCAGAGATTCACATGTCTTTTTGAATGCAGTGTTCTTTGCCTGCCCAGCAGAAGGCTAGCTGAGGGGGAGCCAGCCTGGTCTCTCCCGGGAGAGCGTTCCACTGCATCGGGGCAGCCACCAAAAGGCACCGTCTTGTATCACCGCCAGATGTCTCAAAAGAAGGGCCTTTCTGGAACAATTTTGGGACCAGGCGAGCTCATGTGGGAGAAAGCTGCTCCAAAGTTATAAACGGGGCGTCCTGTGTCATGGTCAGCACTTGAACGTGTGTCAAGAAACAGACTGGGAGCCACAAAAGCGGCTCTTCTGGGGCGGGCAGGTGGTCCCAGCGTGACATTTGGCCTTGGGACTCTCCGAGCAGCCTGGTGCGTTCTCGTGGGCTCTAGACATCCGCCTTCAGCGTGGGCAAAGGTCAGGCCTGCTGGAAGGTTCAGTCCAAAACGTCGGAGGCACCAGGCTGGGACAAGCTGTGTTTCACACGTGGCTGCTTGGACGCACCACTCAATGAGGCCGGGCTTCCTCCCGAAGAAACGTGGGTCGGGTTGCCCTGGAGGGCTTGGTGCTAAGCACCCTTCTTTAAAAGCAAAGGAGTTGACCTCGACAGGTTGTGTGTGTAAGTGAATGTGTGCTGTAACTGCTGCTTGAAGCTGAGCAGGTCGGAAGACTGCCAGTGCCTGGTTGGGAAGCTGCCTCGGAAGTAGTGTTGCATAATGGTTAGGGTGTTGGACTGGGGCTGAGGAAGCCCAGGTTCTAGTCCCTACTTGGCCATGAAGCTCACTGGGTGATTTTGGGCTAGTCACTGACTGACCTGTCTCACAGGGTTGTTGTGTAGATGAGTGGAAGAGGAGGACCACTTAAGATGCTGAGAGTTCCTTACAAAAGGATGTAATTGGAATAAATGTATGTGGCCTTTACCTTCCAAGGAAGGAAAGCAAACTGCTAACCTTCACAGGCAAACAGTCCCCCAGAGAGCTGAAATGTGTAATCTATGCATTATGGATTTGCATGAATTTCTAAGCAGCACTCTGAATTTGCACATGTATCTTACTGTGCATGGTGTATTCTGCTGATCCTGGGCTTAGTGGAAGCTACAGAAGCAATCTTGAATCAAGAGCCCCTCTGAGTTTTAGGACCATAACAGACACTGCTTTTCACCTAAGCTCTGGAAACATGGGATTTCCTTTTTTTTTTTTTTTTACTGTTGACTTTCACCTCTGCTCCAGAGGTGGCAAATAGCAAGGGATGGTGGAAGCTGTCCCTCAGCATCCCCACCCTTGGACTGGTCTGACTGGCCGGTGATCCACCACCAAAAACCTTTTTAATAGGCGCCTGCCTTCCCCATCTGGTGCTTTCAGGCCCTGCTGGCTGAGTTAATGGGAGGCGAAGGCTTGGACAGGAGTTGCATCCAAAGCTTTCTGCTTGCAAAGCGCAAGCTCCGCCGGCGAGCGAGAGCAGAGTTGGCTGGAGGGCGGTGGGCATCAGAGTCGAATGTATCTGGGGGGCCTGTGTTGGGGAAGGCTAAGCTGAGCCGTCTTTCAGGTGGACAGTGCTGGCCCAGCAGTCGCAGTCCCCTGGGAACTGCTCTTGCACCCCCCCCCCCCCCGTTCAGATGCCTGGGAGTTGTGCAAAAGCCCCACAGCACTCTTGCGTAGCTCCCACCCGTTCGCGGAAGGCGTGTGGCAGAGAACTCTGAAGAGGCACGTCTCTCAGGGTGGTGTTGTCCTCACACACCGCGATTGCAGCGTTAATCTTGGCTGCCCCGACTCCACTCTCTTGGGCACGATCCTCCGCCCTGCATGGAGCTCTGGGGAGGGGTTCGGGCTGCGTCCCTCCTTTGGCTCCGCACGTCCTTGAAAGGAGGCAAGAGGCTGTGGCGTGGTGCAACTCGCAGCCGGCGTCACGAGCCTTTAAAAACCCCAGTGTGTGAAAGAACAACACAGTCTCCTGCCAGCGCTGGAAGGGCTCTGGCACGCAACCGGCCGAGCTCATGGGGCAAATTCCGGGGAGCCAGGCGTGGCCTAAAAGCTAAAGAAACGGAGCGCGTGAAGGAGACAGAGTGGCTTGGAGCATTTGCAGGCAGGGGACTCCGGGGGGGGGGGCAAGAACATTCTGTTTGTTTGCGGCGCACGGCTGAGCTTCGCTATCCTTGGAGTCTAATCACTCCAGCAGCCCCCAGAAAGCTGCCGCTGCTTTGGTCTACAGACAGGTTTAGATGGTCTCCTAATCTGTTGTCAGGGCAATGACTGGGAGCCAGTGGGTATTACTGGGTGGCATAAGGATTTGAATGTTTAAAATGTGCACCCACATTTTACATTAGCCTGCTAAGCAGCTTGAAACCAAAATTATAAGAATCCAAATAGAAGAAGCCGGGGGGGGGGGCGTTAAAAAAAAAACCACCATAGGGCTCCCCAGCAGTGAGACTCAGAAGAGCGAGATGAAGGATTGCTGAAAGTTTACACCCAGGGCGCCTGAAAGACACTAAGAAGAGGACATGGGGAGTAGGTGTTTGGAGAGGGCTATCCCGCAGTTGGAGGGATAAGACCCTGACACTACTAATCTACTAGGATGGCGGCACCAGGAGTCTCAGCTGACCATCTCCATAGAATTCCGTGCCCTTTAACAAGAAATCCACGGTTCCTGCCTGAGGGCACCATCCTGGGCGAGTTGAGACAGAAAAAAGGCCTAGAATTCTACAACCACAACTTGCTGGGGGATTCTGGGTTATGTAACCCGGCATATCTGGAGGGTGCCAGGTTCGCGCAGGCTGATCCAGGGGCCAGATGGGCTGCTGGTTTGGTTTTCAGAGGTCCACCCGCTCTCTCAGCTTGGAGCATCTGCAGAGCCAGCGTTGCTAAGGCCTGCGGTTAGACCTCTGCCCTGTGAACCTGTCATAGGTTCCTGTGAGCACTGCGTTTTCTTGCGGCAAACGGCGTCACGTATTACCCGGTCCGTGCACGGGGTCCAGGGAGCTGGTGCAGGTCTTGCCCACATGCAGTGCAAAGAAACTGTTCCTCCAGCTGATGTGTCCCAGATCTGACGGAGAACAGCAAGCCTTGGGGTTTGATAGAGGGCAGAGGCACAGGATTGGCTTACTGGGAATAAGCTGACCACCCGGGTCAGGATATTCCGGTCCGTCTTTTCTGACACATGGCTTGAAAAGTTCCTTCCTTTGGCCTGAGCTACAGTGCCTCAGCCTCTCACCTGCGAGGTTCCTAATCTGAACCCTTTGTGGTGCAGTACCTATTCATTTAGGTCTGTAGCCTGCTGCATCCCAAGCATCTGGGGTAGGTCCACCCCCAGGGGCTAGAAACTTGCAAAACTTAGTTTTATTTTTCTTTTGGAAGCCAGGATTCCAGGATGCTACTTGACAGCAGGGGAGCAAGTCTGACAAGATTTCACAAGCCAAAGGAGGGTTGGAAAGATGGCCAAGGAGCTTAGAAATGTGTGCCCTAATTAACATGTTCCCTCTCCACCCCCCCAACCCCACCCTGTTCTGATCGTGTAGGCCATGCTGGACTACCTTTCCCATTGACTCCAGTCAGCATGGGCATGCGGCACATTGTGGTCCAACCCATCGGGGGAAGGCTGGTGCGAATAGGAATCCTTGTGACAAGAGAGAATGGATATAAGCCATGCAGTTTGTGGAATTCTGCATTTTTGCTGCTTTGCTTTAAAATGTACAGTGCAATCCCAGGAGGTTTGGGACTGCATCTGTTACTGTTCTATTCCCTCCTGTTTTATTTATTTATTTTTCAATTTATATCCTGCCTTTTTCCGACAAAGGGCTCAAGGCAGCTTACATCGCCGCCTCCATCTTACCCCACAACAACCACCCTGTGAGGTAGGTTGGGCTGAGAGTCTGTGACTGGCCCAGAGTCACCCAGTTGGCTCCCTGGCCGAGCAGGGACTGGAACTCGGATCGTCTGAGTCCCAGTCCCAGCTCTTCACCACAAAGCCACCCTGGCTCTCCTGTTTTATGATTTCTGATGCCTGGTGCTAGCCATGGGGCAGTAGCCATGTTGTTTCCCTACTGCAGCCGGCCGCACCACAGAGACACTGCCTCGTGCCAGGCCAGACTGATCGCCCGTCTGGTCCAGTGTCTCCCGCTGGGCTTGGCAGCAGCTCTCCAGGGCGTGGGAACTCAGCCTGCTAAGGCCGGCCAGCAGCCTGTCTCCACAAGGCCAGCCACAAGGCCTCCACTCTGCGGTGCGCTGGCGGGCTTGAACCCAAGGCGTGCGTTTCAGAGCAGCACTTTGCTCCTAGGCTGGCCTGCAATTGAATGCACATTCAGATTGCACCTGAGAGTTGGTATGTGCAGCAAGTGGCTCCTGGAAGTCCGCCTGCCTGCCTGCATGCACAAGTCTTTTTAGTTTGACAGAGTGAGTCGGATGGGAGAGAATAGAAAAGCACACACTTCAAATTAAGAAAGTTTGCCTGCAGTTGTGTGCACCTGCTTCCTCCCACTTGGGGGCCCCAGATGTGTTGAGTTCCTGTCATTCCCAGCCAGCTTGGCCTTCGTATATCCTCATTCCCTGGGTCACTTCATGCATTAGGCAGAATTAGTCCTGATCAGGCACCCTTTTTGCAAAAATAGGTGCTTGGAGGGGCGCAGTTGGTCTGTTTGTGCAGCACACCTCTCCACTCTTGACCGCTGGAAGCCTGACTCATCTTCGTGACTGGAGATGGGGCAGTCCTGCTCTTCTGTTCTCTACCTGTGTTGTCCTCTCCTAAGCCGAGTGCTCTTTTTTCCCCCTTCCCAGGCAAATCTCACATGGCCATTGTCCAGAAGGTAAACAATGAAGGCGAAGGTGACCCTTTCTACGAAGTCATGGGCTTGGTGACACTGGAAGATGTGATTGAGGAGATCATAAAATCAGAGATCATGGACGAGTCAGATGACTACAGTAAGTGGTTTCTGTGCAGGTATGGCCCTGTTTCGGTCTTACTTTTCTTCTGGTCCCATCCTCCTTTGGTTTAGCTAAGATGTCCTAAAAGCACTCCTTCCCCTATATGTTTGGGGCTGGCAGAATTATATTTTCATAAGCTCCTGCTTAATCCCAGCTGCGCCCTGAGAGCTCCAGGTGCCTTAACCACCCGACTTCGTGTACCATTTCCCTGCCATCTTTTCTCACCTCCATCAGAATCGCTGTCCAAGCTGCACATAATTTAGAAGGCAGACGAGGCCTTACAGTTCTGGTTGCTCAAGAGCAAGCATGCTTGCAGTAAGAGAGCGAACCCTAGAAAAGGTTCTGCCGCAGCCCTTTGCCAGCTGGGCTGCTTTTCTCCCCGCAGGGAGCTTTTATTGGAAGAGAGCTCAGAAAAGGAAAAGTGAGCACCTGCATGCAACCTGACATGGTTGGAGCAGCCCGCAGCACCTTCATCCTGTGGGCAGGTAGGCCTTGGTCCTCAGCACAGGGGAATCAGCAAATGGTGGAGGAAGGCGTGGGATAGTCGTGCGCCCCCCCCTTTCCTTCGAGATGTAGCTCAAAACGTGAAGCCATGTGCCACAGCCAACACAAATATTGTCCCCAAGCCTGGGGTGGCAGTTCCCATAATAATGACCTTTGTGCCCCTTCAAGCAGACCCAGCTCACATCCCTGAGAAGCCGGGAACAAGCTGCTGGGGAGCCATTTAGAGCAAGGCCATCTCGGCAATAGAAATGCCACAGACACCTTAGCCTCTGCGCTTTCGTTCTGAATGCTTTGGAGTTCACTGAGCAGCCTCAAAGTCAGCTGCAAGACATCATTTGCCTTTCTAATTCTGTGCAGGTGGAATGACAAGGGAATGTGTGTGGTGAGGCTGTTCAGCTGGCTGGTCCCTTTCGGCCTTCATCCCTTCGAACACTTGTTTCCTCTTTGCTTTGTACACACAGCTATGAAAAATAAATAATCCATATCAAGTTATCTCAGTTTCTTCAGCATCTGTGAATTCTGCAAATCAAACAAATGTGCGTAGGTTGGCTTGCTTTTTAGAATGCATTGTAATCATTGATAGGCATGCAAGTCAGTCCCCACACCCTGCCCTCCAGTAATTTTAATCAGCTGCTCTTTGTTTAGCTTCTGAGATTCTGCAAGGCATTTCCTGGATGCCTTCTGCAGGCATGGCCATAAGGACTAGAAACTTGAGGAGGGCGGGTTGAAGATGGAAACTGAGATTTCCAGGAAACAGGATTCTACAGTCCTCACTTGGTTCTTCCATTGCTTGGCGTTTGTACAGAGCTATGGCGATTCCTCAGCGATCATGTTGCCATTACAAGGGGGCTTAACTCTCCTGCCTCCTCTTGCCTCTTTATGTGGTGCTTTGTTGTTGTTTTTGTTGCTTCCTCCATCCTACCTCTCTCCACCTCCCCTCCAGGGGAGAACAAATTGAAGAAGAAGCCGCCCCCCCTTGGAACCCTGATGGAACGCAGGAAAGAAGACTTCTCCCTGTTTAAGGTGTCTGACAGTGAGTACAGGGTGAAGATCTCCCCACAGCTACTCCTGGCCACGCAGCGCTTCTTATCCAGAGGTAAGCCTAAGGGAAGAGACCCTCTGTTCCACTTGTCTTTGCTCCTGATGCCCTTGCCCACTCCCTCTGCCCAGAGAGGGCAGTAAAAATGGGAGATGCTTTGATGAAAGGAGCCTGCACCAGACGCCACTGTGCCTTCAACTGCAGCACAGCAGAGAGGTTCTTACATATCCAAATCAATCACTACCGTTTAGTCACAAAGTTAAATGGAGCCTTCCCAGCCATTTGTTTTTATTTAAAAGTATTTCTAACTGTCTGGTGATAATTCAACAGTAAACTTCAAAATTCTCCACAATAAAGAGAGGAGGCAACAGAGAGGATGGTAGTTAACATTGGGGAAATTAAAATTTATTAGCTCAGCATGCCAGAGTCTGCATCCCTGCACTAGCAACCGCTTAGAGAGGAATCAGTCCTCAGACTCTGTATGGTGGGAGCAGACAGCCTCCTGATGTTCTGGCCTACAACTTCCACCTGCCCCAGCCAGCACAGGTAATACTGAAGGCTCATGGGAGTTGTTGGACCCGGAGGACCACTAATTAGTCACATCTGCAGGGGGAGAACAAAGCGGAGCAAATACTCCCCCCCCCCCCACAGATACTATGCACCAGAAAGCCTTCCCCAGTCTACCATGCTTCCCCGAAAATAAGACTGGGTCTTGTATTAATTTTTGCTCCAAAAGACTCATTAGGGCTTATTTTCAGGTGATGTCTTGTTTTTTTCTTACGAAAGCTGTAAGATTCTTGCCCCAAGAGTCCTCCATGATTCCATTCTTGTACTCGATGGAACAGCTCTTTCTTTTTCCACTCATCTTGTCTGGGGGTCAAAATAATATTCCCTTTAAATCTCCCATTAAATCACGTGCTAATTGAAGACTTAAGAGACAGGAGTAGCATCACACAAGTGCAGCAGGAATGTCAGTTGCAACACGCAACGCACTGAATTATGAAACGTCAAGTGCGCACGTTCTGCATGGGGAGTCTGTACTTCAACTGGTCATCCGGCAATAAGTCCCTAGTTCATCCGTTCACACAGGCGTTCGCCTCTCATCCAAAGGCGCCTGCTTGGATTATACAAATACTTAATTATAATTTATATTATCATTTATTTTAAGTATCAGTGTCAATATTATTTTTATATTTAATTATATATTAGTATTATTTTATAATATGTCTGTCGTGTGTACTAAATGCGTCCGTCTGCTGATAGTCTTAACTGGGGCTTACTTTTGGGGTAGGGTTTATATTATGAGCATCCTGAAAAATCATGCTAGGGCTTATTTTCTGGGAAATAGGGTAGTCCCAGTCAAATGTGCTGGATTCCTGTTTCCAGGCAGCACAGATGAGAGGTGAGGCCAAACACTTCCAGAAGGACCAGGTTTGATGGAGGCTGCTCTTGCCATTTCTCATGTTGTCCAAGCTCTGGCAAACTAAGGCAAATGTAGGGATGCACAGATAAACAGAGGCTGAGTCACTGGAATTCTCCAAATTCTCACTCTCTCTGCCTGTTTCATGCCGGATTCCCATTCTGCACAAATGGAAAATGCATGCAAATCAAGCTGCAGTTGAATGGAAGCTTTGCACAAGTTTTCCAAACTTGCACAACTGCCTGCCGAGGGAAATCCGCCCAATCTAACTGGGAATTGGAAATAAGAGGAATGCAAGCATGCCTTTGAAAATTGATGCTTTCAGCAGAAATGTGCTCACCCTCCAGAGCACATTCACCTGTTTTGAGGGCGAAACCAAAAAGTTTGTGCCTTCTCCCTGTTGCCAGATTCACTGTTTGCCAGAAGGCTGGGACAGGTTGTATGGAAACTCCGAGAGAGGCTTCAGAAAGGAGTCTTGGTTACACCTTCCATCTAATTCTCCAGGAGGCATTTGGTCCAAGGAGAGTCAAAATGAAAAGCTTCCCTGTGGCTTTGCTTATTCAGAGCCATTAGATCAAAGACGGGGAGCATGGCACCTCCCCAGATGTTGTTGAGTGTATTCTTCACCATCACCTATGGGCTGATGTCCAGCCACATCTGGACGGAGGCCTATTCTGCCCCCTTTTTTCCCCTCAATGACATGCTGAAATTTAAATGTTCGTTGCCAGGGATTCGTGTTGTAAGTTCTTTATGTTTGAAATTAACTGCATCTGCATTGCTTCTCCTGAACCACTTGAAAAAGTGTGGGGAGGTGAGGTATTCCTGGGAGGATGGACCTCCTGCTCCCATGGGAATCTTCCTGATCTTTGAGATCCTTACCAGAGGCTTGCTACTGGCAAGGTGGAGCTAGTGGCCGGTGGCAGGCAGGGCCGTTCCAGAGACACCCAGCTGTTCCCACTTCTAAACCTGGCACCCTGCAGATGATCTGGATCACAGTTCCCATAGCCCCCAGCTCTTGGTCAAGCAGAATGGATGGATGGGAGTCTAGTCCCATACATCCCTAGAACACCAGGTCGCTTCCCCTGTTCCGACCTTTAGCTCACTGGGTGAAAGCTTCGTTCCTTAAGCCTTTGCTCAAAGTTTGTTGTTTGCTCTTCTCCCGTTCTTCAATTGTTAGCTATTCTTGTTTTATTGATGCCAAGTCTTGTGGGTATTTGCAGTGTTTCCACTTTTGCTCCTCCCCTTCTTTTTATTGTTCTCATGTTCATTTTAAAAAATGCATTAAGGACACTTTTGTTTATACAACCCTTTCCTGATGGGCCAGCCACATTTTTATAACCGGATTCTGATTGCTTTTCCTTCCACATTTGACGCTTGTGTCTTTCTTTTGATTGTGCACCGCTCAGCAGCCCCTTTCAGTATAGCATGGGGTACAAATTCCATAACATAAATAAGTTGGTAAATCTCGAAGCGAGGCACGAGTCAGCCATTGCCTCCCTCCTCTCTTTGCCATGCCCAGAGGTGGACCTCTTCAGTCCGGCACGCATCTCCGAGAAGGTCCTGCTGCACCTCCTGAAGCACCCCAGCGTCAACCAGGAGGTCAGGTTCAATGACGCCAACCGCCTGGCTGCAGAACACTACCTGTACCAGCGCAACCAGCCGGTCAATTACTTCATCCTCATCCTTCAGGTACTCTCCCGGCCAGGCATCAGTTGACCGCCAGGGCTTGGGTTGGCCCAGCATCGTGCTGGGGGCTAGTTTGGCCTAGCAAGGAGGGTGGAGAGGGCCCCACTTCTGTGTGGGAGGCACGCAGTGACCGAGGAACCATGTCTCCTCCTCCTCCTCTTCCCGTCAACTCGGGGTCAAGCGGGGCTAAAGTGGCGGGGGGCTCCATCGCAGCCCAGACCTGGGTAAGATCATCTCCAGCTTCGGATCTTGGAGTTCAGGAACCAGAGAGGATGCTGGAAGTGCAAATGTGCAGCCATCAAGAATACTCCACCCTGGACACCAGAGAAAGCCTTGGTTCTAGCTGTACTGGCCAAGTTCTGGGTGGTTCACGCAGGTTAAAGCACGAAAATACAAAGATAAAGTAAAGCCAATTTATGCTGCTTACAACAGCATCAAAGGAAATGGGGAAAAAACCATAGTACAAGCCAGCAGCATTATAAACACCCGAAAAAGCACAGTAATTAATTTAAATGCAAAGCTGGGAAGAAAAGACCACGAGGAGCATGAGGCAAGCCTCTGAGCATTCCCCGGCCAGGTGCCACCACTGAAAAGCTTCTGCCTCCGAGGAACGCTGGCCGTGCTCATGGTTTGTTCCATCCCCCCGCCCCAGTTTATTTTCACAACCACCCCATGAAGCGGGCGAGCGGCAGAGGCCCCGTTCACACCATTCAAACTGCACACGCCAAGCAGCTTGCCTTGTGTGAGCCAAGGGGGCAGCTTGCATGAGGATTAACAAGCCCTGAGTGACCCGTGGACCGTTGCTGAATTATGCAGGGTGGCATAACCCTCCCCGCCAGCCCCCAACTACACTCGCAGCACAGTGAGCCCCAGCCGGGCACTAAATGGCCTCTCGGGTGGCTTAATTTCCCGGGGTGAGGGGGGCACGCCTGGCGTTCACTGGCACCCAGGATCGGGCCCCTCCCCTTAGAAGCCACCCCCCTGCAAAGGGGCTGATGTTTTTTGAACCCAGCCCTGTGTTCTAACCCCGGTGCCTCTGGGAACCTTCACTGCAGGCAACTGGGGTGTGCGGGGGGAGGTCTGTCCTTGATGTACCATTTGCATTCCGCGCCAGTATGCTTCCCCCGCAAACCGAGCTGGTACAGTCTGTTCTGTTAGCTCATTAACTGCCTCTTCCTGCCGCCTGCGGAGGCCCCACCCCGGGCCCCCAAGTCAAACCCCTGGCACCACGGACTCCACCAGCAATGGCCCCCTGCGTTGCACGGGAGGCCAGCGGCGGAAGGGGACTGTGCTCAGCGGGGTGTGCGCACCAGGGGAAGGGGGGGGGGCAGCCGAGGCCAGCAGAGGCCCTGTGGGTGGGGGAGCCTGCCCTCTTGTCCAGGGCACCCCGCCTGCCTGCCAGCTCCAGACCTGGGGGCCCCTTTGCAAATCCCTTTGGCTGGTGTGGGCACCCCCAGCCTTTCTGGTCTCCCACAGTGGGGAATTTAAACAGCCACCCGCTGCCCCCTGGGAAGCCCATCTGTCCGTGGAGAGCCGTGCACTCAGCAGTGCCAGTGGGGGGGGGGGTTGGGTGCCCCTTTGGGTCCCTTTCCCGGTAGCCACAGCTGTGCTTTGGGGGTTGGCCTGCGTGTGGTGGGGTCGTGTCGCCACAGGGCGCAGGGCTGTGTCGGGGCCGCCTGCTCCCACCCACAGAGCCTCCAGGAGTTCCGTCGCTTCCTCCAAAGACAGGGCTTGGCAGAAAGTCCCCTCCTGGGCAAGTCCCTTCCCCTGAAGGAGTCCCTTCGGGGCATCCCCCGACCGTCTCGGGTCAGAGGTGGTGGCGAAAGTGCCTGCACCCGGAGGAGCAGCTGCCCTCTTGCTGTGGGCCAAGCTTCGCTTCCTTGCATCTTCCCCCTCCCCCCTCCCCCCTCTGAAGCTGCAGATTGGAGGTCACAGCAGGGTGGGGGTCTGGAGCCCCCAGTCTGCTTTCCCTGCCTGCCTGATGTCCCTGCTGCGGGAAGGGAGTGAACTGCAGACAGCCCCTGCGCTCGGGGCCTCGGTTGGAGGCAGGATCACGCTTCCTCCAGCGTCCCTTGCCAGAACATTCAGAATCATTCCTAAGAGGAATGTCTGGTTTTCTCTCCTGGGCAAGTGAAACTTGCTGCCCAGCCAGTCGGCGCTGGTTTGCTTTACCCACAGCCTCACTGCAGTTTGGTGGGGAAAGCTCTCGTGGGCATGATCCCCCCAGCATGATAGCTGGAAATGAAACCAGTTCCCGCAGAAGGTCGAGCTGCCATTTATTTAAACTTTTTAAGTTTATATGCTGTCTCTCTGCTTTGGGATCTACATGTCCACTAACAATTTTGTTTAGAACAATTACGAAATCTAATAGAACAGCCACGTAAATGTATCAGCCTTAGAAGTTCGGTTCATGAAAGAGAAAGTGTCAGTTACAAATGCAGTGTACCCCCATGAAGTTGCGGTTCAACATTCGTGGCCTCAGTCTTTTGCGGAATTTTCTGTGTGGCAGCTTGCTCGCAAGGAGATTGTTTTCTCTGAGCAAGTCCAAACCAATCTCCTTGCTCGCAAGGGGCCCGGCCTGCCCCCCCCCCCCCATACCACCTGTTCTGAGGCTTCTGGCAATGAACCTTGCCACGTTCAAAATACGCGGTTTTTCACAATTCGCGGGTACTCTAGGAATGCAACCCCTGCGAATTTCGGGGGACTACTGTACTTGAATGAGTAAGTCAGTTTTTTTAAAAAATGCGGGCGCATTACTCAAAGCGGCAGAGAGCAGAAGAGCCGTAAGAGGCGAAGCACGACCGATTCAGAATCCTTTGGTACTGAAAGGCTTCTGCAGCCCAAGCTGTGGGTGTTCCACAGCCTGGAGGGTTTTATAGGAAAAACCCCTCCACTTTTACCTTGGGGAAGGCAGAGAGCCTCGGAGGCGGTGGCTCTTGGCGAACTTGCAGGCTCGCGCAGCAGGTGCTTCCTCTCTCACCTGGGCAACACAGATCCCAGGTCTAGCTGTCGAGGGGGGGTGGGGAGGAGTCTGAAGGCTCTGTTTGGTTGTCCCCGCCTTTGCTGCTCTGAGCAGCTGTGCTCACTTGGCCCTGACTATCCTCCCCAGGGCAAGGTGGAAGTCGAGATTGGAAAGGAGGGACTGAAGTTTGAGAACGGAGCCTTCACCTATTACGGCGTCTCTGCACTAACGGCCCCTTCATCAGGTGAGTCGTGCTATGCCAGCTCCTTCCACCTGGCAGCAGCTCCCTTTGGGGTTGCCGGGCCCAGGCCAGGAGCTCCTTCTGGCAGCAGGCCTGTTCTGCATCGACTACAGCTCCCCTCATCCCCAGACAAGGGGCAAGTGTTGAAGAGGGTCATAGTCCAGCACATCTTACAGACTCCCTACTGGGGAAGGCGAGGCAAAATATTTTCACTCCTCCCCACCCAGATCATCCACAGAGCATGGGCAGAGCGCTTCCCTTACCCAAGTGGGAACTAGAAACTTGGCCCTCCAGCTGTCCTAGCCAGCATGCCCAGTGATCAGGGAGCCTGTGGCTGACAGGGTGGGATAAAAGTCTAAAAATAAATAAGACGGCTTGCAGGTCACTGCGCAGCTACTCTTGCCTCGTACCCTTCAGCTGCTCCCCTAGGCTTGGCAAAACCGGGCCGTGCAGCGGGCGCAGGTGTTCAGGTCTGCTCCTTCCCCACAGCCATTTTCCTGCCCCCCAAATGCCCTGCCGCTCTTTGTCCCTGAAGGAGCCATTTGTTCTCTGGGCTAAAGTAGAAGAACTTTAGCTGGGGAAAGAGCCAGTCTTGACCCGAGCGTCACGCATGCACACATGCACTGTGGCATCTTTCCAGAACTAAGCCGGGATGCTTGCTGGCCACACACAAGCAGCTGGCAGAGCCCTCTGCCCCAGGAAGGAGCAGGTTGGCAGGGCCTTAGAGGCCTGGGAGGAGGTGTGTGAACACCGTCACTCAGGCAGGGCTTGGGCCAGATGGAGCGGGTTTGGGCCCCTGGCTCTGTGTCTGAAGCCGAGTGGTTTACAACAACCATGTTATAAACTTCACGGTTAACAGTTTGCATCAAGGAAAGTGGGATTAATAATGCTCGGCATTAGATAGTGTTCTCTGAGGTTCAAACTGCGTATCTTTTCTCAGCTTCCTTCTGCCAATTCTGCATGCATTTAAGCTCTAACTAACACAACAAACATGCTTGGAATGTTGTGCACATTCATGAGTGCTAGCAACATGTCCATTCATTTTACAAAGCCGGACTTGGCATCGTGCTTTGTGTTGGAAGCAGTAGCTTCAGCCCTCCAGGCTCCCCGTCTCAGCACTGTCATTTTTCTTCAACAGTCCACCAGTCCCCGGTGTCCACTCTACGAATGAACCGCCGTGAGCAGCAGCTTGACTGCACTGAGACCACCAACTATTCTGCCTACTGTCCCGACTACACGGTCCGGGCACTCACCGACCTGCAGTTCATCAAGGTGAGCGCCAACAGAGGCTGTGGAGACGTCTGCGCCCAGCCAGACAGCCTCCACGTTTGCTCAGCCCCACCTCTGAAATCCACAGCATTTCTCCACGCTGTCTTGCTCACTCGCCCGTTCAAGTCCCTCCATGTCCACAGGCTACAGTGGAACGTAAGGGTCATCTTGTCCAGCACAGTTCAGGCAAGATGGACAGGCCTCAAATTCCCAGTGGGCTGGATCAATCCGTCCTCTGGTGCTTGAGCCAAACCCCGTCCCTGTCAGGCATGGCCTGGAGGGGCATCCTTGCTTCGCTCTCGTTTGCAATGGACCGTTTTGATGCAAAGAAGGGCTGCAGGAATTACTGTCGCTCAGAATTGCCGCCTTAGCGACAATGTGATGTGCTCCATGTGTAAAGCCATCAGGTGGGTTGCGGACTATTTGATTCAGTGGTGTAGTTTTCTTCCTTTAATGGGCTGACAGCCCTGCAATCCACCCGCCCACGTCTTTGGTCCAGCCTTCTTTCTCTGTTTCTTGCTATTGGTAATGAGTCAGAAAGGGCAGGAAGAGAGATTGTCGCATGTCTCAGATGGGAAAGCAGAAACCTTCTGAGTGCAGCGAGCTGCCGTGTAAAGCAGTGAATAGAACCCTCCAGAAAGCCAGTTTGGCTTTGGTCCCGCAAGGCGGCCTGTTGTTGGCTTGGGAGGTCAGCGAGGTTCACGCAGAGCAGCCGCTTGAGTTCCAGCCTCATCCTGGCTGGCGTGCAGAGCAGGTGCGCTCAGGTGCATGTTGGCTGCTTCTCCCCAGGTGACCCGGCTGCAGTATCTCAACGCCCTCATGGCCTCGCGGATACAGAACTCTCCCCAGTCTCCGGACACCATCGAACTGAAGGTCGTTCCCAGCAGCCAGACGAAACTTCTGAATGACAGGAACGCCACACCAGGTACGTACCGGGCTGCTCCCGGGCCAGGACCTGCCGTTTCTCCACCCCTTGTGGGCCTCGGCTGCCCCCACGGATGGAGGGATTCATCAGAGGACTCCAGGCAGGGCTGTTCTGCCCGGGCCGTCAGCAGATGCACGGGCGAAGCAATGCACGGAAGGTCCAGCAGGCAGAACGAACACTCATGTCGCACCCTGTTTGCAATGTGTAAAGCTTTTTGCAAATCACGCTTCTTAAAAAGTTTGAATAGAAAAACATAAAGTTAAGCAAATCAGACCTTTAATAAATTAGACACAACATTTGCTTACATTTAAGCCTTTATCCATTTCCAAAGAATATTTTAAATTTAGGTTAGTTTAAAAAAATATGTATGAAATGTGGAACTGGGTGCATGACCGGCAATCAGTTTGCCTGCCTTGGGATGTTGGGGGGGACATGGTTGGACACTGGGATATCCGGGGGTGGCCTGGTGGGTGGCCATCCTGGACGGTGCCAGAAGAGGGAACGTGGGCCTATCTCAGTGGAGCTCCTTGCCCAGCAGAGCGGCGCTTCTTTCTGCCGTCTCACCTGTTGGCTCTCTCTGCCCCGTCCTTGTAGGAAAGGAACGCTTCCCTGTCCATCTTTCACTCTCTTTCTCCTCCTCTGTTTCTCCTTTTCTCCTTTCAGCCTTCCCGCTAAACCTCTCTCTCTTTGGCACAATTGAGAACTGCATTTAATACAGGCCTCTCTGCCATATTCTGGAGTGCCTTTTTATTTTTGGGAAAACACAAGGTAAATATCCAGTCGGTCTTTCTCCCACATCTCTCCTCTCCTTCACAAATGCCCTTTAGGCCTTGTGGGAGCAGCACCTGTGTGTTTGGAGGAAAACATCCCGCGGGGGCACCGTGGGGGCTCTTTCCTCTGGAGCTGGCGCTGCACTGAGTGAGCCTGCCAACTGCCTTCGGGGCCTTCAGCCAGCAGCCCCCAGTTGCTCATTTCAGCATTCCCTGGGGGCTGCTTGGATGGGCTGGGGGTGCCCAGAACGTGCCTGTTCTGCAGCCGAACGAGTGAGACTGAGAACGCTTCAGACTGCAGACCAGATTGGCAACCTCTCCGCAGCTTGTTTTTAACCCCGCCAGTAGAAAGCTAGTGCATCCGGGATAAGGGCCTCCTTTCCCCTCTTTCGCTGGTTTTCTGCTCATGGGGCCGTTTGTTTGGTGCAGCATTTCCCCCCCCCCCCCCAAATAGAGGACTGTTCTGCCACAGTCTGTTCACCCATCTCGCTTGGCTGCACATGCAGAACTGAGCTTCGTCCCTGGTCAGCTGGGGCCCGGTTGGTCTGCCATCTCGCTTTTCTCCCCTGAAGCGATGCAGATCTTCTGGGCAGGGGCGGGGGAGTCCCTCGCGCTTTCCAGCGGTTGGGGATCTCGGTGGGGGTTGAGCGTTACTTCGCGGGTTCCTGTGTGGCCCTCCCCGTCCCAGATTCAAGGAGAAAAAACCTGGGGGGGAGCAGCAGGGGGTAGAGCAGTCGTCTCTCGTAGTTCTGTCAGAGAGCATAATATTACCGTGAAATTCGGCAGCGCTGACCAGGATGTGCCCTTCTCTGTGGAACGAGGGACCATTGATAAGGCCCACCTTTCCTTGTCCCTTTTACCACCCTAAGAGAGCAGGAGAGGGGGTCGACGTCCACTCCTGATTTTAGCCCCCATTTTCTGGCCCTGTGGACCTGTGCGTGTGCTGGAGAATGGGCAGTGAGCTCACGACGACATTTCAGAAAGCCAAACGTTGCCATGAGCTTGAGCATGTCCACAAGGTCTCTGGAGCAGCGTGCCCTGCTTCTCGACAGCCAGCATAATGTATATAAAATAAATATGCTTATTAGTGCACTCAGCATATACAAACATGGTGGGCATGATAGGTGTTTGGTCAATTTGTCTCTCACCACCGATGCAAAGCAGGCCAGCGTTGCTGATCCGAAAGCGCAGGAGGGAGGGGGTGCGGCCGAGTGCTCGAATGCCGCCTAGGAGGCTGTGGCTGCGGGGAGGTTTGGACCAAGGCTGGGCGCTCCGAGCCGCGGGTGTCACTAAAAGCCCCTTGTGCTGGGTGTGCAGCGCTGAGCTTTTTCAGGTGCCGGATTTAAAGGTGGGGCCTTTCCGCTGGGTGGAGTTGGCGTGGGCGGGTTCCCCGCCTGTTCTCTTGCTGCGAAAATCCTCAAGAGCACCCGGGACGGGGTTTAATCACTGCCTTCCCTCTTCTCGCTGCAGGGAAAAGCAGAAGCAAACTCAACCTACTGGAAGAAGAGAGCCAGAGCACAGGGGTCTGACCTTCCGGAGGCAGCTGTGAGGCGGAGGGTGGGCGAGCGTGGCAGGGGGGCCCGCTCCCGGCTGCCACCCGTGGCTCCAACGGACCTTTGGTTTGCTGCCAGCATCCCGAGCTGGACTCCCTGAGCTGTGAGGAGCTGAGCCATCTCAGGTGGGCAGCCAGGCGGAGGGCCGCTTTGGCTGTCCCAGCAGCACGCACAGGACGCGCTTTCCGCAGCATGCGACTGCAGAGCGGGCTGCGCCTGGAGAACCAGCCCTGCTGCAAATACAGACGCGGTTGCCTTTCCGGCAGCCGGAGCGAGCCGGGACTGGCGGCCAGTGCTCCTCTGTGTTCCCTTGGCAGTGTCGACCGCCTGCTGCACACGCCCCTCCCTTGCTCCCCATCGCCCCTTCCGGCGCCCCCTTCCTTGCACCTGCTTCAGCTTGTCCAGGACTCTGCCAGCCCCGTGGCGGTCCGGAGCCCCTCGGCACTTGGGTGGCCTCCTTCCGCCACGCGTCACGCCAGGGCCAGCAGCAGGCCACGAGACCGCCCGGCCCCCGGGGTCCTTCCGTGCAGCCGCCTCCCTGGCCGGGTTAGCCCCAGGGCTGGCCACCAGTCCCCGTGTCTGCCTGAGCCTGCCAGCTAATGGCCCCACCTCCTGGCCTTGGCCTCCCCTCTCCCCTCCCCGGCCCACGTTGTGCCAAAGCCCACGCTCCCTGGGGCAGCCCAGGCAGCTCTCCCGCTCCCTGGAGCCACGCCGTGCCATCCGGCCTCTGTCCAGGCCACATCCCCGCAGGGGCACCTCCTCTGGCAGCCCAGGGAACGCCACTTTCTGGACGGGGCCGCTTCTCTTCCACGGGTGGCCCGTCCCCGGCCGTGCCCGCGGCCGCTGCGGCCTTCGCGCTCGCCTCGCATCTCCGGTCCCCGCGCTCAGCCCCAGGCTTGAGGAGCACCTCTTGCACGGGCGGCCTCTGGACCTCGGCATTCGAACCTCTCTCCTGACCTCCCGTGCAGGCTGGGCCGGGGGTGGGGGGGGGTCACGGGGTGGCCCCGCCCCCGATCCAAGTACTGTGTGCAGTTCAAGCGCTCGCGTTCCCCTCTCGCCACGCAGGAGGGCGCTGCCGCATCGTGCGCCTGCCCAGGGAGGCCTCCCGGGAAGGGGAGCCGCCTCCTCCGGCTTAGAAGGGCGGGTTGCTGCCTCCTTTCCTTCGGGCTGTCCTTCCACACGGCCATCCCACTCCACTCCAGCGTTGGCAGAGAGACTTTTTGTTTTTGTCTAGTTGCTACTAACAGTCTCCCGCCCCCCAAAGTTCTTATTTTTTAAAGGAAATAAAAGACGTAGGAACAAGAGAGAAAGGAAGGCAGCTTCCCTCTCTCTTTCTTTCCCCGCACCCCACAACCAGTGGCAGAAGTTGGCTAAAATATTGTATAATTTCAGGTAAATTATTTGTAACCTGCCTCTATGTTGTAGCCTTTCTGCAGAGACTACCTGCAAGTGAGTCTGACCTTATACAACTATTTATAAGTTACTGCTTTGTCCGGAGTGATGGCTTGACTGACAGTGCAGAATCCTGGAAGCATAGAGCTGCAAGGGGCCGGAGGGGCATCTGGCCCAACCCGCTGCTCAGCACAGGACCCCGTGTTCAAGCATCCCCCCCTTTGGCCGCCCAGCTGCACCTTGAATGCCTCCAGTGTGGGCGAGCCCACCGCCTCCCCAGGTCTTGGGTCCAGGTCTTCCCAATCTGTGGCCAGAATCTGGCCTCCCCCATAACTTCAGCCCAGTATTCCGTGTCCTGCACTCCGGGATGATCGCGGAGAGACCCTGGCCCTCTTTGTGGCAGCCCTTCAAGGACTTGCAGGGGGCCTCCTATCTCCCCTCGCTCTCCTCTCCGGCACTAAAGTGGAAGCACCTGCCTTTCGTGCCCCAGTGCAGGAATTTTAAAAATCCCACGTCTGTTTGCTTGCCCTGACTCCTTGGAGGAGCATCTGTCTCCTCTTGAACGAAGGCAGGGAGCTTTGACAAGCCCCCCCCCCACACACACACACACACTTGGTCTTTGATCAGGGCCGTCTCCTCCCAGTCTGCCCTGTCACACCACCCTGACTTGGTAGGACCCAGCCAGCCTGGGGATGTAGAGATGGGCCGTTCCAAAGCAGACCACCCTCCCTCCCCTCTGCCTGGGTGGGAGCTTGTGCCACCTGCTTCCAGCTGCTCTTTGGCTTCCTGAAAGAGCAGGAGGGAGGGAGTCCTGAAGGTGGGAGGGAGGCCTGCCCTGACTTTCCAGCAGGAGGGGGAGTCCTGAAGGTGGGAGAGGGGGCTGTGCCCCCTCAGAGGGCAAGTGGAGAGAGGCCCCTTTGTGTTGGGCTGCCCCATGTCTTTTAAAACAAGATGCTGCCACTCCTGCAAGCAGAAAGCTGGTGTAGCAGTGAGCATGTTGGCTTGACTCATTTCTCTGATGTGCTAGCTTTCTGTTAACGGGGTGTTTGGATAAAGTGGGGTGCCTACATTTGGTAATCCATTAGAGACAGGCCGTTGTGTGTGTGTGTGTGTGTGTGTGTGTGTGTGTGTGTGTGTGTGTGTGTCTCGCTCTAGGCCTCAGACTTCCCTGAATGTGTGTTCTCCCCTTTTTTAACTTTGAGGTTGAACTTCCAGCAGTGGGGACGGAAGGGATACGGAGAGCAGCAGTTTGCAAAAACACAAACTCTCATTGACCCCCTATTTTCAAAACATGGCTTGAAATAGTTTTATTTACCAAAAAAAGTGTCACACCAACTTAACATTATCAAAACCTTTCAGTAACAGAAGTTTCAGCCATCCACAATCGGGCCTCCCGCGATCCCTTAAGCAGAGTGCCGTTTCAAAGCAACTTAAAGCAGGCATCTCTGAGACCCGAGCGGAGAGACCAGGTGTGTGGAGGCGCAAGGGAGCGCATCACAGTGCCGGCCACCTTAGGAAAAGCCGGGTGTCGCTCCGCTGGCTGTGAGTCACCTGGGCAACATGGCATGGTGCTGCTTGCCCAGCAGTACTTGGATTTGTCAGTAACTTAGAAAAGTAGAGCATTGGAGCATCGCTTGAGATGCACTTGGATTCAAGATCGACTTGAAGAGGTAAGACGTTGCGTTGCTTTTGCAAACAATCATTCAAGTAATTCCCCCCGCTCCACGCTGCACCTTTAGGCTGCAGCATGGGAGGGGTGCCAGTTTCATTAAAGTTAATTCTCCAGAGTCCAGATTCGCCCTCAAGCTGGGCAGAAAGATCAAGGCAAAGCCACTGTCACCAGCATCTGAGAGAGACCCAACCGGGCTCTGGGGCTCGTTCATGTTTCCGTGCAAAGTCATACAATAGGCAGTGTCAGTTTCAGAGTGCATGAAACCCAGTTCCATGAGGGAAGCAGCTTGTGGAGAGGCTTGTGATGCCTCCAGAGACCTGACGCATTTGGTAGCGAACTGATGCGAAGTCTGGAAGGTGCACCCAAGAGCAGTCAGCCCGTCTCGCACCCCTGCAATCATGCATTGTTGCGGAACGGCTGCTGGACGCAGAGCCAGCCCGGCCAGCAGAGCCAAGGTCCGTGCACGAGCAATGGGGGGGCTGTGTTGGGGAGGGGGAGAAGCCCGAAGTGCCCGGGGCGTTTCTCTCGCTGTGGGAAACTGCAGCACCCGAGAGGTCGTGCTCGCACTCGTGGGTGGCAGAATCTCGGGAGAAGCGCGGAGCACAGCGGCCCGCTGGTCCTGTGCAAACGTCTCCCACCGCTCCTCAGCCCTCAAAGCGGGGGGCTGAAGGGGGATTCTTGCACCCAGAGAGGGAGCAGAGGGGGCCCGGGTGTCTGGGAAAGGGCCGCGCAAAGGCTGGCCGCTTCCAGGACAGGCCTCCGGAGCCTAGCCTCCTCCCGAGGCCTCAGACAGTCCCATCAGGGAGAGTATGGGAATTCTGGTCCAGCACAGGGGCGGCTGCAGGCTGCAGGCCTCGCGCCTCCGGCAAGAGGAGGAGCTGGAGTCGGCCATCCCACGCCTCCCCCTCTGCCCCGTCCCATTCCAGCAGGGGCAACGGGCTGTCCAAGCCTTTTCCTCCAGGAACTTCCATCATCTTGGCTCTGTAGAATGGAGCGGCGTTGGAAGTTCGTGGGACTGGGGGTTGCACTCCCTCCTGTACAAAAGCGGCACCTCCTCGTGGGCTCCCGTGGCCAAGCGAGGACCCTCCTGGCCAGGCTGGCTCTTATCCCAGGGAGGGGGTCCTGCCCCAAAGCCACAGGGCTGTGCCATCCTTGTTTTCCCGGCCCCCTAACGAGGGCAGTGGCCCGGGCCTATCCAGGGGACCGGGAAAGGTGCAGGGCTGCTCAGCACTGCCCTCCTGGGGTATTCCTGGGTGCAGCAGAGCCTCCCTCAGCACCTCAGGGGCAGAGTGAGTGTCCCAGGCACTCCAGCCCCCCTCCAAGATGCAGGCAGCCCCCCCCCCCATTCCTTGCTGCATCCGAGCAAGCAGCAGGGAATCAGGCCTGGAAGACTGGGCCGTGGGACAGGGCAGTTGAGTTGGTCACGAGTGGTGGCAGGGTGGGCAGGGGGCAGGGCTGGCTTCTCCAGGCAGCAGCCCCACCCCAGAGCCCCCCGCCCTCAGCGGCTCCTGATGGGCAATTGCTGCCGGTCTGCACACGCTTGCAGCGTCTCCCGGATGCCCGTCTGCCAGTCCTTCACCAGGTCCACCGGAGTCACCGCCTCCTGCCAAAAGAAGTGGCAGCCTCTTTTGCAGTGCTGCTGGGCCCGAGCCCCAAAGTTATTCCCCAGAGCCCTGAGTGCCCATCTCCTTTTTCTAAACGAATTTCTGCGCGGGGCAGGGGCATGGACAACTTTCTGGGGGGATAGCAGCTGGAAAGGATGGGGCTAACCCTATTCCTCACCCCAGGCCAGTTAAATGTATGGGAGGGGTCTGCCATCCTCATTCAACATGAGACTAGTCCTCACTCAGGTGGAAACTCTGTGGACCATACCACTTCAGACTGCAGGTGGGGCCGGCTAGTGCACGTACAAAATCCCTCTGCTTAGAAAGCATGTGGCAGGGAGAAGAGTTGCGAGCGATTTCATTTCTGTGCCGCCCCGGAGCCACAGTTCTTGTGCTCCAGGCTTTGTCCCGATATGCTGGCTTCCTATGTCAGAGGCCTTTTTTAAAATAGAGGAGCATGCAACACAGCCGCCATCCGGCCCCCAGAGAGCCGAGCCGTCTGCGCGGCGAAGGCGCGCTCGTGGCGCTGGGGGCGGGCGCCGGGCCCGCGCAGGCTTCCCCCCTCCCAGCCCGGGGCGCATGGAGCCCCGAGGGCGCCCCACCTGCCAGGCGTCCCGCGGGGGCAGCAGAGATCCCCGCCGGGCCCTCACCTCGTTCGGGATGCCCAGGTTGGCGCCGTACAGCAGCAGCGTCTTCACCGCCTTGAACCGCCCGAGCCGCACCGCGTCGTGGATCGGCGTGTCTCCCTCCTGGCCGGGATGGGGAGAGCGGGGTGGGCGCCTGCTGGCTTCTCCGCCAGTGCCTGCCCCGTGGCACGACGTTGGGGGTGGGGGGGGGGGCTCTGGCTGCGGAAGGGCCGGGCCAGCCCTGCTGCTGGATAAGTGGAGCCGGCGCCCCGGGGAGCAGGCTCTGGGGCAGCCGCAGTGGGGAGCCCCAGCTGTTGGGCAGCCCCCCCTTGCAGCACCGAGCTCTCTTGCTTCCTTCCGGGCTGGCAGGGGAGACCGCCCCATTGCCGGGGTGCAAAATCAGCCGCGCCGCAGGCTGGTTCGCGCGCTGGGAGACGACGGCGCAGGCACAGCCCGTCCCACGTTCGCCCCCGCGCCGGGAAAGGCCCCCGCCCCGCCCGGCAGGAGCCAGCGGGTCGTGCGGCCTGGGCTGCGGGCGGCTGGGCTCCCTGCTTGCCCCGCTGGAGACAAATGCAAGCTGCGTGACGCGCGGTGCAGCCAAGGAGCTTTCCAGCGCCCAGAAGCGGCCGCTCCTGAAGGGGCTCGCCAGTGCGCGGCGCTGTCAAGGGCTCCGCTCAGCCCCCAGTCCCGAGAACGCAAGCCAGGGGCGAGCCCTGGGCGGGGGCCGTCCCGGGCGCTAGCAGCAGGGGACAGAGCTGAGGCAGGCCTGGCGAGAGGAAGGACCCCCGCCCCCGGCTCCCTGTACCTTGTCCTGCGCGTTGATGTTCGCCCCGCAGGCAATGAGGTACTCGGCGCACTCGGAGTGCCCGGTTCGGACGGCCACGTGCAGCGGGGTGCTCCAGAGCTGCCAGGCAAAGAGGCGCCCTTAGAATTGGGGGGCAGAAGCCCTTTGGGCCAGGGGACTGGCAAAGCCCCTGCCTAGCCCTCTGCGGGCTGTATCCTGTCAGGTGGGCACACTCACAGTTCCCTCGCCGTTGGTTCCCTGGCTTCCACACCAGGGAGGCCTGTGCGTTAAAGCCCGCCCCCCGCCTCGACTGCACACCCTTGGCGTTCCCCAGCCGGAGAGCCAGCCTGTCCCTTGCTGGATCCAGCAGAAGGGCCAGGTGGAGGGGAGGCGCCCCCACCCAGGAGCAGGTGTGGAAGCACCCCTCCCCCCTCCCTGCAGCCTGCTCTCCCACCCAGCGCCCAGCGCTCACTGCAGGAGGGGAGGGCACCCTGGACGCGACGGGGGCTCAGGCCACACCACTCACCTTGTCCCGGGATGAGATCTTGGCTCCCCGGTTGATCAAGTGCTTGAGGATCTCCAGGTGCCCTCCACGGCAGGCCCAAAACACCGGCGTCGCTTCCAGCTGCAGCGCAGGACAGAGATGTGGTGCCATTTAGCATCTCCATCCGGAGGCAATGTGGGGCAGAGGCAGGGGCCAAATGCTAGTCTGGGGAGCGGGAAGCTGCCCTTGCCAGAGTTCTCAGCCCCCCAGGCCAACTGCAGTTCCCAGGTCTCCTTAGGCCGGCGGAAGGACAATCGCGCCGGACGTGTGTGTGTGTGTGTGTGTGTGGCAGGGAACTGCCTGGCCATATTTGCAGGGGCCAGAGAAATCTGGCACCCTCCGTACTCGTGCTTTAGCACGCACAGTGCCTTGCAGACGTGGAGAGCTGGCGAGCAAATCTACGGAGGCTGCGTCCTTGACGCGTCCCAGAATTCTGCTCTTCTTGAGAGGTCACCGAAGGGGATGGCAGGATGGGCCGGGTGACTTTCTACTGCCAGGGGGGCAGGCCACCTACAAATGTTCCTCCCACACAAAATTAAAACTGCTCTCTGCATGTAGAAAATGAGCCTCTCAGGGAAGAAAGTGCTTGCCCTTTCCCTCCTGTGCCTGTCCTATTTGCAGGGCATGTCCTTTTCATGGGGAACCATTTGCTGGGTGTGCAGGCCAGGCAGGCAGTCCCCCCAGCTGTTGCTCCCCTGCATGTGTGGATCCGTCTGACATAAACGGCAGTGAAAACAACCCCACGCTCTCTTGCAGGAGAACGCTCCCCGTGGTGCGTGCACAGGGTGCTGCCAGCCCAGTGGGAAAGGAAGATTCCAGGTGACGTTTCGCCATCCTCTCTGCCACTTGCAATGTCGCAAGACCTCAGTGAGGCGGCAGAGGCCAGAGCTGGTCCTCCAGGCTGGAACTCACCATATCTCTCGGCTCCAGAACAGCCCCCGCTTCCAGCAGCCTCTCCACGATCTCTGTGTGGCCCCGCAAACAGGCCCAGTGCAGGGCTGTGCATCGGAACTGCAGCAGAGAAACAGCGCAAGGAGGGCATTGGCTTGGGGGGCTGCTCCCCACCACTGCCCCCAGGGGACTTCAGGCTAGCCCATAAGGCAGGAAGGAACCTTACTCTAGCATGGGGGGCAGGGGACCATTTTGAGCCAGTTTCCAAGGTGGGTGGGGCCCAAGGCAAAGGGGCATGGCAATTTATGTATGTTTAAATAAAACGATTATAATGCTCCGCATTCTATTTTAATTTCACCCATCTGCTTCACTCCGAGCCTTAGTACATCTACAGCAAGGCTAGCAGTCCTCTGATTATGACCGCTTCCAGTATTGGCCATACTCTGCGGTGGCGGCCCAGGTCTCAGGAAGCAGTTGGCTGATGCGTGTGGGCTGGAGCAATGGGCCAGGCCTCTTTCCCTCCGCCGGAGGAGGACCAGCCCATGACTCAGCCACCGGCACCTGCCTGGCCACATCCCCCGTGTCGGTCAGGGGCAAAGTCGGCTCCTGCAAGAGTCGGCGTGGGGCAGCCGTCGCTCCAGAGAGCGATGGCCGTGGCCAGCAGGTGTCAGCTCAGCACCGGAAAACGGTTGGCCTTCCAGGAAAGAAAAGACTGCAGGACCACCCCAGCCTAGCGCCTGTCGGCTCCCAAGTGCTGGCTCCGCGCAAGGTGGGTTGGGTCCCAGCAAACTCTAGGAGCTGATGTGGAAACGCCTTTGCTCAGCAGCCTCCCCTCTCCCTCCTCTGCCAAACCTCTGAGTGGAAGATGCGTTGGGCTGGACAGAGCAGCTGGACGGGCCTGGCGTTCCGGTACCTTGTCGTGAGCGTTGGGGTCCCCTCCATCTGCCAGGTATTTCTTGACCACAAGAACCTGGTTTTCCAGTGCCGCCTGAAGGAACTGCTCTGGCTGCACGGGCGCTGTCTGCGGAGACGGGGGCAAGACTCAGTCTCGCTTGGCTTTGGCCTGCCCCATGTGCTCCAATTCCAGTCCCCCCCATCCCCCCCGGATAGTTTTGGATGTATGCATCTTCTCCCACCCCTTTCAACCCTGTCTCTGTTCAGTTCTCTGTCTTCCGTGGTCTCCCTTCCATAAAGATTGCAAGTCCCTTGGGGCAGGAATATACTTCTTTGTCAAGCCCCAGAGCTCAGACCCCACTGTGCAGAGAAGATGGTGATTTCTTGGCTCGGACTAGTTTTTATCCTGTCTTTTTCTTGCACCATTTGCTCTCCCTCTTTCTCCACAAATGCAAACTGCAAATCCAGCTAACAGCAAGCAACTAGAAATGCTCCAATTACAGAAAAATAAAACAAAGGGGGAAAAAAGAAAATGCAGCAATCAAATATAATGAATGTCGCAGATTAAATGCTGGCCCAGGTTGGGAAAAAAAGAACATGATTTTAAGTGGCACCTAAAAATAACCAAAAGCCCAGTCCTGCTGCCAGGAGCAGCCATCTCGGCACCGACGTTTGGATCGCGGTCCCAGATGAAGACCTCGGTGCAGATGGGTGCTGGCATGCCTTCAGATCTGCGGCTACTACATTGCTTAGGTCAAAACCAGCACTTTAAATTGGCCCAAAAGCGAACTGGGAGCTGGTGCTGATCCATAAACACGGCCTGGTGCGAGGAGGCTGAGCCCAGAAGTGCCACCTGGGCTTAGCTGGTTTCCAAGCACTTATCCCATGGCGAGCCCCAAAAAGTAAATGGCAGCGGCCTAGAGTGGGCCTCGTCGAAACGCGGGTGTGTGAACCACCGTTTTCCCAGGAAGGGAGCCTGCGGCAGGGGCACCTTGAGGCACCAGTGCCATCTGGACAGCCATCCACACAGCTGCCCCTGGGAAGGGCACCCAGCCCTGGCTCTGCTGCTCTCGCCAGGCCGCAGGATACTCACAATCTCTTCTGGCTCTTGCTTCTTGGGAAGGACCACCTTCTTCACTTTCTTCTTTGTCTTGCGAAGCTGGACGATGGCCTCCAAGTCCTGCAGGCTGTCAAGCTTCAGTCTGGAATTGTTGAATGCCTCGAGCTGGAAGGGGAGGGAGGCAATCAGAGCCACGGACCACTGCCTTCCCACAGAGCCACTTTCCCTGGCCCTCAAGTAGTCCCTAAATCAAAGGGGCACATCGCCTTTCGCGCGGACGGAAAATGGAGCACGATCCAGCAGGCGCTGCAATGCCCGCCTGTCCGCGGGACTTGTGCAAGGCTGCTTCCTGGCAAGTGGGAGTGCCCCGGGGCTCAAATTTATCCCCCACTCTGCCACCTGAAGGTGTGAGCACCATCTTCCACTCGTGGCCTCATGGGAGGGCTTCATGAGTCAACATTAAGTTGCAGCCACCTCTGTCTGATGGTGCAGCCAACAATCCGCTGTGAGTCTGAGGCCCTGTTTCCTAGCTGCACCGACATGGGATTGTGCCCATACCATGCGATACGTGTTCCTACTCTGCACCCGTAGCTGGTAACAAGCTGATGCGTTGGACTGCAAACCCCAGCAGGCCTGACTTTTGGCAATGCAAGCAGGAGGGTTCGGAAGTCAAAGCGCAAAACATCCATCCCCGAGGAAGCATCCAAAGAGCCGCAAAGCTTGCACAAACATTGTGGCATGTCAAGTGGCCCTTTGCCCTATTTTATGGTGAAAAGTCCTCAGTTTCGAACGTATCCTTGATCTGAAGGTCTGCTAAGTCCAGTTTAAGGAAGTTGCCCATCCATACTTAGCACCTGGAATGGGGAGGCCTGGCTCACTGGTCACAGTTCCCCTTGCTATGGTGAGATGGACTATATTGCTACTTAAATCTAGTAATTATTTCTGTGTGTGCATTTCTTTCTATAAATTAGCACATGCAGTGCAAAGGCCCTCATCATTCCCTTCTGCCCACTTTTTGCATGATACGGAGCAGTGACGCTACATTTGGCTTGATCCTGAAAAAGCGATTGCCTCACTGTGGATTTTGGATGTTTTTCCTTCACTCCTAATTATGGACTTATTTCTTACTTTTTTGCAAGGCCCTTTATAGCACAGATTCATTTATGCCACCAAGAGACCCAAGGCTTGCAGGACAGCTTTGCACAGTTAAGCACGTCCTGGCTGGGGAGGGGAGGGGAGGGTGCGGAGCGGCACCCGTGCTCTCACAGCCTTTCTGCTCGCCTTTATTGCCCGCAGGAGCATCCCATGCAGCGCTTTCCTGCTCACCTTTTTCTTCTTCTCCTCTTCTGTCTTCTGCCTCTCCTTGTCCACTGCATCCCACATGCTGGCCAGGCCGGACCGCCACCTTTCCGGCTCCCAGGCTGTGCCTCTCGCCAGCCCCTCGAAACTGCGCATTTTCCCCTCATAGCGCTCATCACTTACCTAGCGTGGAAAAGGCATGAGGTGAAGCCTAGTTTTATTTTCGCACACCTTTCTAAAGCAGGGCCCAGGGGTCCTGCATGCACCGAAGAATTCTGAGGTTTGCAGCCACACACAAGTCTTTTGTTTTGTTTTGTTTTGCTTCGTTTCTTAGAGACAACAATGGATTAATTTGCAGACCTTTCTGGAGGAAATAACCAGCTGGAGCTGCACACAGGAGCACTCCCAGGTAGTGCTGTGACATTTTGTGGCAGATTCCGCTTGCCACTGTCTCAGGTAATCCCACATTAATTTTAGCAGCCCTGCCGTGCTGTTCTGTTTTGAAAGGAGTTTGTGGCACTGCTCTGTGTCAGGTCTGATGCAGTGTGCGGGTGTTTTGACACAACTGTATTGATGGTTGTTGCTTTCCTTTTTGTGCATCTGCTTGAGGTTTCCTTCAGGGGAGTAGATAAATAGTGCAATGGACAATATTTAAATGGAAGATGCACAAGGCGATCGGGCCATTTTGTCAAATTTAAAACCAGCATTCCCCCAACCAAAAAAGCAAAAAACTGTACTGTGAGACAGTGGAACCCAACGCAACCGCTAGCAAACCCGTATTTTGCGTGCAGTTTCATGTGCGACAATGAACCACACAACGCTCTTAGACTATCCCCTCCACTAGGGACACAAACTCTGGCGAGGATGGAGCAAACCGGATGCTCGCTTGCCATCCAGGAGGAAGCCAACACCGAGGAGGCCCTGTTGCGAGCAGCCACTTTAGCCACGAGGAGCACACCTTTGGGTGAAGAACTGAGCACCACGATGCATTTATCAGTTTAGGGAGCCAGTTATGGGAAAGGGGCTCTAGAAGTGAAACGGGGCCGGCTGGCCAGCCTTTCTTAGCCCCCGTCCCACCCATTTCGCAAATTGAAGGACTTTGCTCATGAGCCTTCCAACGAGATCTGGCCTCCGTCATGGCACATCAGTGGCACCAGCAGCGTTTCTGCGTTGTTGTTTAAATTTGGAATGAGAAGGACAAACGGGGCAGAGGTGGAATCACCAACAGAAGAGGAGAAAGGGCAAGGGCAGTGAGAAGGAATGACTTGCAGCGAGTTCATAGCAAGGAAGGGAACCCTCTGGCCCTCAGCCTCATCTGGCCTACGAAGTTCCCCATGTGGCTCGCAGAGCCGCTGAGGTTTGACTCCTTGGAGGAATCTCCTCTTTCCTCTCCATTCTGTGGCCAGAGAAACAGGGAGGGCCCCTCTGCTCCCAAACAGGAGGACGAGCGTTGCATGAGAGAATCGCTCACTGTTGCAGAATTGCAGGGGTGCGAGAGCTGGGGAACTGGGCCAGCTGCTTTTTCTCAGCTGGCACTCGGTGGACTGGCTCCTCCTGGCACCAGAGAAGCCATCGGTGAGGTGTCTGCATTGACGGGGAGGGACAGGGAAGAAGGTACAAAGGAAAACTCGGCCTCTGCCCGGAGAAGTCCGCTTTTAAGACACGTCCGCGTCACAAGTGGGCAATTCATAACCTCTTGTGGGAGGTTACAGATCCCACAAGGATCTGTAAATGTAAAGGAAGGACCGTAAAAGTATATTGTAAATATTTGCTTTATCTATCAGAGTTCTGTTTAAAAGGGGGTTATGAGTAATGGAGGCGAGTGAAGCAACTTCAGGTCTAGCAGGAGAAAAGTGCTGAGCCAGGAAGCCCGTGGCTTCTCAGAGAAGAAAGGCTTTCCTTCAAACCTGAAAGGTCTGCTGGTGAATTATACTCATAATGCACACCTGCCCGTCAAAGTCAAGGTGTGCTGCAGCACTTAAGCCCGTCCAGGCATTCTGCCAGGAGGCACAAACTCCCGTAAACTACCCCGCTTCCCCTCGCCACTGGTAGACATACGACAACCATCGATTTGAGCACTGCCCCGTTGCGAATCTTTGCCAGGCCTGCTGCATGCACAGCAGTCCCCAGAGAGCCCGTCGCTGTCCGGAGCTGCCCTGCCTTCAGATTCCCCCCCCCCCGCCCCCATAGGAACACTCCCCAACTTGGGCTCTTGGTTGCTGGAAGCTTCTGGCCTTGCAGGGTTTCCGCCTTCGGCTTCCACTAAGGGGAAATAATGCCAGGTCCCCAGGCTCGGTGTGCCGTGCTCCCCCCGCCCCTCACCAGCTGCTGCTGGCCTGATGAAGCGCTTCTATTTATACGTCTGCTCATCTGCCGTGGCTGCCTGGCCGAGGAGCAGAGGTGATGCCAGGCGAATGCCGTCGCTCGCACCCTGCCAGGGCAGCTTCGCGTTGTCAACAAACAGGGCAGACAGAGACAGTTGGGCGCCTGCAGTGAGACGTCTCAATGGAGGGGGAAAATCTTGCTGAGGGGTCGGGGCTTATCAGCAAATTCCCTCGCTCAGGTCTACGCAAAAGGAGCTCCGTGCAGAGCCTGGGCAATGCCGTCACCCGTCTCAGTGGCTTGTGGAAGGGGATTTCCTGACGGATGGCGGATCGCAGCTGTCCGGCCCCCTGCGCACCGCCTCCAAAAACGGTGCTGAAAACCTGCCTCCCTGCCTTGAGGAGAGAACTGCAGACGGAAAAGCCGAGCAGCCCCTTGCCGCTGGGTGGACCTGCCTGTTGGAGAGAGATCGCGCACACCAGCTCAAGGCGAGGGGCGAGGGGGCACGTCCCCGCTGCCCACCCCCGATGCAGACTTGCCCACGCACAGCCAGTCACTCCAAGTGTGGCTGCCCGGGCTTGGGGGATGCGAGGCATCCTGCGGGGGGGAGGCAGTGAGGAGGCGAAGCGGGGCTCGGTCTTGGGGGAGCGGCCAGGAGCCCGGCCCTGCGGCAGAGCCCCCCAGCTCCCCGTCCACTCCACTGAACCCCCACAGGCCTCCCCCTCTGAGTTCCTCTGCCGCCTCGGAGCTGCAGGCCGGGCGGAAGTGGCTGCCCTGACCGCGGAGGGCACCCCCATGGTTGCCGCCAGGGCGCCAACTTATCCTATGGCTGGCTGGAATATATCTCACACCCACAGGCTGCACGCGGCATGCATTTGCTTCTGCATTTGATGTAGGTCCTGAGTTTCCACCAAGGAACAGAAGAAAGGTGGGACAGGTTCTCCCTACTCGGGGCAAAAAGATCTTGAGACTTGAATGGTAGGCACGCCATGGGTGCAGCCAGCTGGAGCCAGGGGTCACACTAGATGGCCTGGGGGGTCCCCTTCTGACTTGTTCTGTGTCCATGAATATGGGAGAAACCAAAAATGAGATTCAGTCCTTCAGGGCCAGGGTTTTGAGTGTTCAACTCTCAAAAGTCTGGGTACACATCCCCGTGTATCTAATTTCTATGTCTTTTTATTTAAACACTTGCCATGTGATATGTTAGCAAGGCAGTGTGGCATAGTGGTTAGAGTGTTGGATTGCGACTCAGGGGGGCTGGGGTTGTAGTCCACTTGAAGCTCGGTGGGTAATTTTGGGCCAGCCATTGGCTCTTGCCTCAACCTACCTCACAGGGTTGCTGTGAGGAAAAAATGGAGAGAAGCTCGAAGAAGAAGCTGGCAGATTGCCTGTCCCCACAAAGGAGACCTGAGAGCTGCCTGTTGAAGAAGGGCCAAAGCGGCAGCCCCCTTCCCTGATTAAGGCCAGGACTTTATCCAAAAAGCCTTGCTACTTGATTCAGACACCAGCTCCTGCTCGAAACAGTTGCACAGCAGGCCTAGCCTGGGGTCTCAGGATGACGAGGAAAGACCCCACGGGACCCCTTACATGGCTCTCCAAAATGCACTCGCTGTTGTCCTGCTGGCCAGAGCAACATGATAGCCGCACGGCACCACAGCTCCGAAGTCCCAGCATGCCAGGGATGGCTGCTTCCTCCCCAAGCGATTCCAGTCACCGCGACGGGGAAGAGGCGTGCTTCCTGCCTTCTTAGGCTCCCCGAGCCCAGGAATAATCTGCGGAGGGCTTCAGTGACCTCCGTGCAGCAGCGAGCAGGGCTTCAGCCTGACACAGCCGCCCAAACGGGACCTCGGGGCCAGCCGCGTCCTTGTTTGTGCCGTCCAGGGACGCGTGGGGGCTATTCCCTCCCGCCTGCACAGAAGAGCAGCTGGCAAGCGCCTTGTGGCCTTCTGGCCCACTTAACCACACATCCCTGGGCTTGGCTAGCGTTGTTTCTTTGGGGGCGCCTTGCAAGGCCTTGGGGACTTCAGGACTGGGGTGAGGGGCACATGGGCTTGGGAGAAATTCTTCCTACTCCGATGGCTTCAGTTGGGCTGGATGCGGAATACCCAGAAGCCCCCGAGAGATTCTTTCTCACACCAGCACACCCCATGAGATTGCTAAGCACACTTAAAATGTGCCGCTGCCCGTTGTGCATAATTCTTCCTTTTGTGAATCAGGGGCAGCAAATCTGGGGGATATTCTACCATAACGGAAGGGGCATGTAGGAACCGCTGCGTAGTGTGGAATCGCGCTCAGGGGAGGGAGAAAGGTTAGTTGTGTGCCTCACAACTGAAGGAATCCATGACTCATAAGAGGCTTCAGCCCAGGGCCCAAGTGAGCCAGCTGTGCCATGGGCTCCAGGCCGAGTGACAGCAAGAATGGAGGGGATCTGCTGCTGGGGTGCCGCTGACTTGGTGCCCCAGCGAGCGAGTCCCTGCGTCTGGCTCCGGAGTGCACCAGGGCTGCCAGCATCTTCCTCCTCAGTGCTGGTGGCTCTCGCAGGGAGCATCGGAAAGCAGAAATCCACAAGCCTGAATCTGTAAGCAAGATAAGGCAGGGCCAGCCGCACCATGAGGCAGAGCCAGGTCTTGGCCTCGGGCGGTGGGGGACAGACCTGGGAGTGGCAGCACCAACCTCCTGAGCCGATCTTCTCTGTCAGAGGACACAGCTCCGTGGCCCCTGAGGTCTGGCCTGCCCCACAGAAGCAGCGGATTAAGTGAAATTCAGCTACAGCATCTGTCTGTGGAATAGGAGGGGAGGGTGCCTCCTGCTACATCTCGGGCAGCAAAGTCTCTTGGACTGGTCCTGCAATGCAATTTATGTGGGAGGGCGTGCGGTGAAGGACCCAAATGCACAGGCGGGCCCAAAAACACGGAGTCGGTGGACTTGCCCCTTGGCAGCTGCAGAGAAAACGTCAGGCTTCCTCATGCTCACCCGGTGGGAAGGACTGGGACGAGTTGCGTGGGGCGGAGGCGAACACAGGCAGTGGAGCAGGCACATAATTCAACCTCCTGGATATCTTGGCTTTAATTTAGGAGAAGAAAAGCAGTTTCTTATCCTTAGGCCTGCAATGGTGCACTTGGGAGGGTATCACTGCTGGCCTAGAGAAAAAGCTGGGCGGTAAGATCTTCCTTCAATGAGCAGGGAGGGTTGGGGTTTTTCGTTTTCAAGTGTCTGCACTTTCCTGTGATTAGCAGAACCTGCATAATGCGAAACAGCAGCCTGGCCCAACCAGGGAGCTGATTTCCATTGCTGATTTCCATGGGAAAACCTTAGCCAGTTGGGGAATGCTGGGAACGGCATGGACTATTTCCATCTAAGCCGGCACAGGATTGCACTTACGTTGCACAAAGGCAGAGCCCAGCTAAGACATCCTGTTTATTTTTGAGCTCTGAGTTTAGACAGCCTGGGTGCTACATTTTAATTTGCCTAGTGCAGTGCGTTCGGGGCCCCGATGCTCCTTTCCATCAAAATATGAAGCAGCCACCTTCTGTGGGCCAGAGCCTGGCTCCACCATGCTCAGCCGTGGAAATAGCCTCTCTCCAGAGCTTTCTGGTCAGAGCCTTTTCCAGCCCAGCCTGAAGATGCCAGGCAAGTAACTGGGAAGCTGGGGCACGTGGAGCAGAGGGTCCAAGCTCGATGCCGCCTGCCTCCCACGGGCAGCCAGGGCCGCACTCTCCCTGGTGCTGTTAAACCATCCCCAAAGCCGTCGGCTCCAGGACAGTTCCTCACCAGGCTGATCAAAGGCCAACTCTTCTGTCCTCCCATCATTGGCAGGTTTTGAATGTTTTTGTTTTGTGCTAAGAATAAAGATGGAAGAAGCAGCGGGAAAACAAGACACTTACCCATGGGAGAAACAAACCCTTTGCAAAGCACCCCCTTTTCTCTACATGGTAGGTTCATGCCCCTCCTATGGACTGAGCGTCTTCCCTGACGCCACTCTTTGATCCGCAGGCAAAGACTTTTTTCCATGCCATTGCTATGGGTGCACAGTTTTTCCATCCCACGTAGCCACAATCCCACTTGGTCTGGGGGCCCAGCTGAGCCAAGCTACTAGGCATGGAAATGGGACTCACAAGCCATGGTCTACGGCCCAAAGTCTGAAGTTCAGGCAGTGAAGGTGTGTCCTGGCCTGAACAATGTGACTGGCTAATCACATCTGGCAACAAATCTAGCAAGAGCTACCCTGACGAATTTTTAGAGAAATCTTGCCTTATGTGTTAATAATTTACTATTGGTAGAAAATAGAATATATGTTAATTGATACCCCCCAGAAGACTGTTTGTGGCTTTCTAAATTAGAATGGTTACGCAGAAAAACAGTTAGGTCAACTGCAAAGGTCGACAGCCAAAAGGTCTGAAAAGAGGTTGTCCTATCTACATGGCTAGGATATTGGCCAATTTATCCTAAGCAAAGCTAGAGGTGATTTTGCTGTTGCCATGACGAATACTCTTAAATACATGCTACTCTTCCCATTTAATCTTTACTTTGCCCTCTGCGGCACTGCGCCACAGTACCCTTCGTCACCCCCTCTCTGGCCCAGTTCTAACCCGAGACCCACCCATGCCGTGGGTCAGTGCAAAGACCCCATCCCAGCCTGGGGGCCCCATTTCCCAGTCTCTTACCAACTGCTGAATGCTGAAGATCTCCATGGTCCCCCCGTCCGAGCCGCTCAGCCCAGCTCACTCCCGGCAGCATGCCCAGGCAGCTGCTTTTATGTCAGGCCGCTGGGGGAGGAGACTTAGGCGGCCGCCCAAGCTGAGAGCACAGGGCCCAGCAAACGGGATGATTCAGGTGCCATGTAACACCAGCTAAAATAACTTCATAGTTTAAGGGTTTATACGGCATGGCATGGCGCTGAGAAAGGGGGCGTGCCAGTAATGAGATTCCCAGACCCACACAGGGGATTATGCAATTATTTAGATAGGGCGCCCTGGGAGGGGAATTCAGTGATAAAATAGCATGTTGACTCTTCCTGGCCTCCCGGAAGATTTGGCAGCTGCCCCATTGGGACAGGTGGAAGGCCATCAGTTCTGCAACACAGAATCCGCGGGAATGGCGCGCTTCCCATCTCTGCACGCTGGCATCCAGTGGGACATTAAAATCCGTCCCTTTCGAGTTGGAGAGCTTAACTGGTGGAAACACACATTTTTATTCCTGGAAAAGCCCATTCCAGGCAGGTTAGGGATTTTAAGCAGTGGGACATGAACAAGCAGGGCGAAAGCCTGGGGAACCACCACCCCAGCTTCCTTTTCCCCTTGAAGAGCTGCTTCCCTGCAAAAGGAGGGAGCAACTTTCACGGGTTACAAGGAGACACTTGCGCTGAGGTGCGCAGCCTCTGCTGAGTTGGTCAGCACCATTTCTCCTTGTTCTTAGGCGGTCGGTCAATCGGAATTCTCCCCATGCTGCAGATGGAGAACCCGAGCTTGAGAGAAAGCACCACAGCTCAGGAAGTGTCTGTTTCAAAGCGTCCTTCATGAGATGCCTGCACTTAACAGATGCAGCCTCATCTTTGAGATGACCAGTAGAAACAAACATAACCGTTAAACCTCAGCTCAGCTACTCTTTCCATAATTATCTCAGCCCCAAGTCCTGCCCCCCATCTGTACTCGTGGGCCAATAATATTGCCTACCATAGAATATTTTTGCAACAATTCCTAAGATAAAAGTACATGAAGCACTTTGGAGCATGGAATGGGAGGTTCAAAAGGTTCCTGTCTTGACCTCCTTCATGGGTCCAAACCCCACCACATCTTGGCCATCACAGCAGCTTTGGGATCGCCCAAAGTGCCTGATCTTTTAAGCTAAACACGGTCAGGCCTGGTTGACATCTGGATGGGTGACTTAATGTTGTGAAGCACAGAGAGTCCTCCTGCTAGGGGCGGCAGAGAAATGAAATGCATAATAATGAATTATCAGGTCAGTAATATTGACCTACCTTACAGGATGGTCAAGGAGATTGCAAGAGTGATGGGTCTGGGGCCAAATCTTAAGAGCCACATTCCAGTGGTGGGTGGAACAAAGGAGGCGAGGTCAAAAATGCCAGCGGGACACTCATTTAGTAGCCTTGTAGCTCTCACCACTAGGGATCCAGCCCCAGGTGAGGCCCTGCAAGCTTTAGAATTGTGGGGGGCAGCACAAAAGCAAGATCTGTGGTCGAATTTGGTCCAATCTGTGGTCAGGGGAAGGGGGCTCCCCGAGAGCCACTGTGCCCAGGCTTCGCGTTTTCCACCCTGCAATAACACGGGAGGCCCTTCCATCACTGCACCGCATGACATAAGTACGGGAGCATTGCAAACCCCCCGTCGCCATGATTTTCGTGGTGTCTTTACAGGGTCACCCCCAAAGATTTTGGAGAAAGCCTCTGGACAAAATGGAAGAAAAAAAGCGGGACAAGTCATGATCCCAGGATGCTGCTCTTCCAGCTGATCATGATCCCAGAATGGACAGCACGGCTTCTTGAAAGTCCACTCTTCCGTGTTGCTGGGTGGAAAAGGCTTACAGAGGAGGAGAAACACCCCTGGCTGAAGGCATCTCCAGTCCCACCCAACCCACTGGCATGCTCTTCAGTTGTCAAAGCTTAATATAGCACAGGTCCGCTAAGGAAGAGAAGCAGTCACAAGGATTTGAAAGCCGGGATAGCGCTGAAGTATTCATGTTACAGGTACAGATAGAAATAGTGCCTAGATACGGTGATATCCAATCCCGGTTGGGTGCTATTTCGTTTCCCCACCACCAAAACACTCAAGGTGACAGAGGCGCTGTGGAATTCAGCTTTGGGGTACGCGGCAGTGGCGGTTCTGGAAGAGAGAGGCAGTTGTCCCCAGGTGGCGGGGTGGAGACTGTGGGCTCAAGACCCTGCAGGCTCTTCCAAGTTGGGGTCCTGGGGGGGTGTTCACCTTTGCTTCTCCGCGTGGCACAGCTCACACCAAGATTTCTCGGCTCGACAAGATGCCCTTACAGGACGGCAGAGTGTTGGCTGCCTTCACCCGCTGCAAATCTCTAAGGCGGCAGATGCCACCTCCGGTCAGATTCTGGCTCATCTTCACAAGATGAATGAAGTGACCTGAGCCCGAAGCACCCAGGAGTTCGCAAGGGACATTCCTGATCCCCCACGTCATTCCTTTTTCCCGTCGTGATGTCCCTCCGCCAAGCACTTGAGGTGCCACCCGCTGCGCAATTTCTTGGGCAAATGTGCCCTTAAATGCAGCGGGATTCAATTCTGAGTAGACAAGCAATGAGGGAAGGGGATAACCTAGCAGATAGAAGCTAATTAAAAGACGAGAGCATCACATTGGTTAGCTCCCGCACTTGGAGCCCCTCCTGCTGCCTCTTCCACATAAGAGCTTGGCTCTCGGGCTGAAAAAGTTCCCAAAAGCCTAATCATGCTGCACACAGGAGGTTAAAAAAATAAAAATAAAATCCCAGTTTTTGCAATAAAACCATCCAGTTGGAAGAGGCCAGCAAGGCCGCTGGGTCAAACTGCTGCTCAGTGCCTCCGGGTACTTCTTCAATGCCTCCAGTGGGGAAAAACCCGCAGCCACCCCAGGGAACGGGTTCAGCTGATGTATTGCTGAACTGGAGTTTTCCCCCAATGTTCGGCCCAAATCTAGCTCCCTCTGATCTGAGCTGATTATTCTGTGTCCGGGCTGTTGGTGAAGAGTCCCGGCCCCCCCACCGTGTACCGTTCATGGCCTTCAACAGTACGACCCTATCTCCCCTCCGCCTTCTCTTCTCCAGGATGAACATGCCCGGCTCTTTGCATCGCTCCCCACAGGGCTTTGCCTCCACTCCCGGATCACCCTGACTGCCCTCCCCTGAGCCCTTCCCAGCTTGTCTGCCTCTTTCTTCAATGGTGGGGCCCCGAACTGGGTGCAGGACTCCGGATGGGGCCTGACCAGAGTGGAGTAAAGGTGAGCCAGCACTCCGGGACTTGAAGTGCTACTTCTATTAATACAGACTGAAATATCAATTGCCACCCTTGCGGCCACATCACATTTTCGATTCACATTCAGCCTGCGGTCTACAATTCCAAGCTCTTTCTCACCTGCCGTATTGCTGAGCCAAGGACCCCGCATCCAGTAACGATGCATGTGGTTTCTTTTCCCCAGCTGGACGTGCACCACCACCCAAATTTAGACCAGGAGGGGAGGCCGTGCTCCATCTTATTCCTACAGGTTCTTTTCTCGCTGCATCCACCTAGATGCTTTGGGGAGAAACGGAACTGGGGGAATGTTTTTTTGCAGACAATGAGCTGGCAAGGTGGTCCGGGGAGCACTTGCCCTGCTGCTCAAGTCAGCTCGAGTTCCCTGCGGCTGCCTGGGGCACGCTATTGACGTCCGCATGCGAGCCCGGTCCAGTCCCCAGGCCACCCTTCGTTGTTTGGGGTCTGCAGGCAATATAAGCAAGGCCTGACTCATCTGGAAAGAATGCGCCAGGACTGAGCCTCTTCCAGCGTATTTTTAAATACAAAATTCATTTTGATTTTTTTTTTTTTTTTGGATGACAATCATTCCTCCCCCCCCCCACCCTTTGTTTCCTCGTACTTCGCTCACACCAGGGCTGAAGATGTCACCCATTCCCAGAAATCATTTAGCCCACCAAGCAATTCTATCTGCACATAAAAAGCACTTCTAAAGAAAATAACAAGTATGCTTTGTGTTTTCATGATGGTGCATGTGTGTCTCCACAGGCATGCTCTTAGAAGAGGCATGCTGACCTGGGGGGAATGCCTCTTTCCAAGGGTCTTTGCTTTTATAAGCAGCACAGCAAAATGATGGCTTTCTAGGCAAGAGTTTGGGATTGCCCGGATTCTCAGTTCCAAGTTTTGAAAATCGTTTGGATCTCAGACCTAGGACTGCAGGCTCAGATCCCTCTCAGCTAGTGTGGAAAGACCTGTACTGGATACTTCTCCAAGGTTGGAGAAGGGTTTAGTGGGTACTCAAGGGAAAAGGGAGAGAAGCCAACTGGGAACACCCAGGTATGGTGTGTCCTTGCAGTGTCTCAGCCTCTTTGCCCGCTCGCCTCTCTGAAATGCTGCAATGAGCTGAAATCAGCCGTCTGGTTGTTTCGCCGGTGAGATGCGTGGAGGCAACCTTCTGCCAAGCACGCTTGGAAGTCACGGCATCCCCTTGGGGTCGCACCTGGACTGCATAAAAAACCATTTCTGCCTGTTTTGAAAATTCTGCAGCACAATTCTTCCAGGGCTCCTTTGCGGTCAATCGAGCTGCTGTTGGTTAATTTTGAATTCTGCAGCCTGAGGCATGACCCCAATACTCAGCTAAGGTCAACAGAGGAGTCGAAATGTGGGGGAGCAGGATTTGATCATAATTGTAGTGCTGGAAAAGACTCCTGTGAGTCCCTTGGACTGCAAGGCAATCAAATCGGTCAGTCCTAGAGGAGATCAACCCTGACTGCTCTTTAGAGGGCCAGATACTGAAGATGAAACCTAAATACTTTGGCCACCTAATGAGAAGGAAAGTCTCCCTGGAGAAGAGCCTAATAGATGGCAAAAGAAGGAGGGGACGGCAGAGGATGAGGTGGCTGGATGGGGTCACTGAAGCAGTGGATGTGAGCTTGAGTGGGCTCCGGGGGATGGTGGAGGACAGGAAGGCCTGGAGAATGCTGTCCATGGGGTCACGATGACCCGAGTGTGACTCTGCGACTAACAAAAAAGGATTTGGTCATGAGGGTCTGGGAAGTGATGGAAGAGGGCAGCTCCGAGCAGTGGGCACCAACCCCTTGATACGAGCGGCCATGACACCCTTCCAAAATCACACCAGGCACCAGTCAGAGCCAGCGTGTTTAGCTGCTTTTGGGAAAGGGAGCTGTCCCTTGTATTTTAACAGGCCCCCTTGATGGACTCCACGATTCCCCTCCAAGGCACGCCAAGGCTGGGCCAGGCCCTGGGGGACAGGAAGCGAAGGATGTTCTCGGCCAAGGCTATCTTCAAAAGCAGGCAGCATTCTCACTTGCGGAGCCCCTTTGCCCTCAAGAAAAGCTGGGCTCCCCAAGTCTCCTGCGGTCACCCGGGAGCACGTCCTTCAGTCCAAAAGCTCCCACGCAGCTCCTTGCTTGGCAGGATCCAAGTCGCAGGCCCGTCTGCCGCTCTTGTCCCTCACATGCCTCAGCTCTGGCCTTTGCTCCAGCAGAAGCTGGCAGAGCTCGCGATGTCCGTTCTCGGCCGCCTGGTGAAGAGGGGAAAAGCTCCTGAGTGTGCGGGGCTGGCGGCCCCCCGCGGTCCCCGTGGGAGGAGAGGAACCCAGAAGGAAGGGGTGCGAGGCCTTCTCACTCCCGGGGAGGACAGCACACCCCTCTGGAGTGGCAGGACAGCCTCCGAGCCTGTTCCTTTCCCCCCACAATGCCCAGGCCAAGCTGAACCCTGGTCCATTTGGCCCCATACTACGCACTTCTCCACCCCCCCCAGCGCTCCCAGCATTTCCGGCCATTGGCTGGGGCAGATGGGAGTGGGAGCCCAACATGTCTGGTGGGGCCAGGTTGGGAGAGGCGCCAGAAATGACTCTGCGGGGTGTCAGGCGGGGGGCAGCCCACCCCGCGGGGCAGATGCTCCCAGAGGCTGGACCGGGGCCTCCCACAGCAAATTCTCATGTCCGCCCCCCGTTACACGGGGCACGGGGTGCACAGCCGGTGCGGGAACCTCCTTTTGCTGTCCACCATGCTAAAACACCCGCTGTCGTGCCGTTTGAGCGGTCCCACAGCTTTGCTCAGAGTATGCAGCTTAGCCCAAGAGGCTGGCTTCCGCAAGAGGCACGGCCCGTCCCACCACACTCCTTCAAAAGCCATGCGCCCCCAGAGCTGCAGCCGGCCGTGGCTCCCACAGGCACGGAAGGAGAGGCGGCGGCGCCATTCGCGAGCCGTGCCTTGTGCAAGCAGGTCTTCCCCTCATCGTCCGTGGCCGCCGGATCCGCCCCGTGGGCCAGCAGCAGCTGGGCTACCTCCGTGTGGCCGCAGTAGGCCGCGCGGTGGAGGGGGGTGGCCCCGCCATTGGTCCGGGCGCTGCAGGTGGCTCCGCTCTCCAGGAGGAATCGGCAGACGCCGTAGTGTCCACTGCGGCTGGCGTAATGCTGGAGGCGGAAAAGACAGTGCTTGAAGGGCTGCGTGCCCACGAGAGAGCAAGCGCCGGTGCGCAGCCACCTTTGGCTCTGGGATGCCCTTACCAACGCCGTGTACCCAAAGGAGTCTGGCTCACTGGCCTTGCCATGCTTCAGCACCTGCCTTCTGACTCCCTCGAGGTCTCCGTTCAGAGCAGCATACCAAATCCCTAGACAAAACCAAACATTTATTCACATTTCAGTTTCCAATAAATCGCATTCCCGGGGCTCAAACTGGGGAATAAAACTAGAATTACAGTATGTGATCAGATTAACATCAGCCATCTGGAGGGATGCCCCAATTAATGGGACAGATCTTTTTTTAAAAAAGCCCACACGTATTATTAAAAAGCAAATATTTTAAAAAAACTGGATTTACAGGCCAAAAGAGTGTCCTCTTGCACAATGCTTCAGAGCTTCTGGAATTCAGGACCGCAAGGGGATGGGCTACGGGGCTGTTCTCGCCACTGAAGTTACAGGGGGGGGAGAGGGTGGGAAGAGGGCCCTGTAGCGAAAACAAGGCTCCTGGCCCATCTCTCGCCTCTTCGCTGACTCCCAACAGCCCTGCGCTTTGGTACCTCTCTCAAAATCCATCTCCTCCAGCGTCTGGTGGGCGCTCGGCACTGCCACGCAGTGTGAGCAGCAGGTGCCGTCTTTTCGGTGTCCTGGGGAAGAAGACATGGCAGCCTGGCTGGGGGGGTCCTCTCTCGCCAGAACGCTACAAACAGCGGGGTGGGGGATGCAGGCCGAGGTGTGCGGGGAAGCTGCTTTGCAGCACGCGAGTGAGAAACTGCATTTCAGCCCCTGGAACAAGAAAAACGGTTCCCTGATTAGGGTTCGGAGCATAAACCTGTTGCTGGAAAGCTAATGGGAGAGCAATGCCAGTGGATTTCCAGCACCCTTCTGACAGCCAAGAGTGCCATGACAACCTTGGAAAGACGGGCCGTTACAAGGCAGGCCTACCTGCTCCTACGAAATGGACTGAGGGCCTCATGAAGCAGACGGCGGATGGGTGACTCCCAAAAATGCATCAATGCTTGGGTATCTGTCTGCCTTTCTCAAAGCTGAGGCATAATTATTTGCATATACTCATATGGTATCCGTAATTATCTGCCAACGGCGTCGTCCCTTCTCTGCGTCCCTTAGCTGTGGCCCGGGGACTCCCTCCCCTGGGGGTGGAGTTTTTTGTTTATTTTCCTCCAATTTAAAATTTTATTTTATCCTTGCATGTGTGTGTGGGTGTTTGTCTGGGAGAACTGGGCGGGTGAGGGGCAGTGCAGGACAGACAAGGCGAGGGACCAAGGTCGGGTCTCAGAAGGGAACCCAATAGCAGGCCAGGAGACGGCCTTGGTGGGAGTCACGGGTGTTGCGGTCCGCTGCGAGAGCTGCGACGTGTTCGCCCTTCTCCCCCAGGAGAGGCAGGGTTACACTCACCCTCGCTGCGAGCTGGTGGTCCTGCTAGAGGAGGTGGTGAGGGGCCTGAGGGCCAAGAGAGCTCTCCAGGCCCCCCGGGAGCAGCCCCCCTCTGGACGGAGGGTTGAGGGAGGGGCCACGAAGGAGCAGCTGGGGAGCCATGGAGGCACATCACCTGCAGGAGGGGGAGGCCAGCACGGCCTGTCCTCCTCCTGGCACCAGTCTGGAGCTGGGAAACAGGTTCTCTCCACGTGGGGAGGCTGGGGCTGAGGAGGCCTGGGGGACCAGCAGGACCCCCAGCCTGGGACGTCAGGCGGCGAAGGGGCCGCTGCGGGAGAGGCGAGGGCCGGGGCACGGCCGCCCACCAGCACCGGGAAGGCACGGCGGCGGGTGCTTGTTGTTGGGGACTCCCTGCTGAGGGGCACTGAGCCGGCGGTGTGCCGCCCCGACCTGGAGACAAGGGAGGTCTGCTGCCTGCCGGGCGCACGCATCCGGCATGTGAAGGACAGAGTGGATCGTCTCGTTCGCTCCGGGGGTCACCAGCCGCTCCTGGTGATCCATGTGGGCACAAAAGATGTGGCCAGGCAGGATGTGGTTGGGACCACCAGGGACTTTGAGGCCTTGGGGAAGAAACTCAGGGAGCTGAAGGCCCAAGTGGCCTTCTCGTCAATCTTACCTGTCCGGGGATTTGGGCCAGGCAGGGACAGGAGTCCTCCGAGGTGAGCGACTAGCTTAGGGTGTGGTGCCAGAAGGAACGCTTCGGGTTCCTCGACCACGGCACTCTGGCACGGGACGGGTTGCACCTCACGAGGATGGGGGAAAGGTCCTTTGGAGATGCTCTAGCGAGCTTCGTCTGGAAGACGTTAAACTGAGCCGGGGGGGGGGTTTGGTTCAGGCCCCCCAGGAACCACTGGACAAGTGTGGGGGAGGATCAGGGCTCTGGGAGCAGGGTTTTAAAGATACTGCAGGGACTGACAGGACTCCTTCTGAGAGGGGCCAGGTATTAGGGAGGATGGGAGGGAGGAGGAGGCTGGGAACTCCAAGGAAAGGAAGCGGTGGGAAGGAGTTGAGGTGCATGTACACCAATGCTAGGAGCATGGGTTTAAGCAGGAAGAGCTTGAAGCTCTCCTGGGAATAGGAGGGTATGATCTGGTGGGAATCACAGAAACTTGGTGGGATGAAAGGCAAGTCTGGAATGTGAACATAGAAGGGTATCACCTTTTTAGAAAGGACAGGAAGGGAAAGAGAGGTGGGGGCTTGGCTTTATATGTCAGGGAAGGGATAGGATGCAGTGAGATAGAATGCAGCACAGATGGGGATTCGGTAGAGGCAGTCTGGGTGAAACTTAGGGGTCTTGACAGGGAAAGAGACCTGACAGTGGGGGTATGTTATAGCCCTCCAGGTCAACTTGAGACCCTGGATGATGTCCTGACAGGCCAGATTCTGAGGATATTTCGGGGGAGAGAAACAGTAATTATGGGAGATTTCAATCTCCCGGATATAAGTTGAGAGACTCACTCGGCAGTGACAGCCAGGTCACATAGCTTCCTAGAAGCTATAGAGGGAGCGTTTTTCACACAGAGGGTCCGAGAGGCGACGAGGGGGGGAAACATCCTTGACATGGTCTTCACCAATAGGGAGGGGCTGATAGATGAAGTACAGATTAGGGGAGCTCTGGATGCAAGTGATCACTCCATCCTTTGCTTTGAGATCAGGGGACTGCGGACGGGCAGCAGGTCGAGCACTAGAAGCTGGGACTTCAAGAGGGCCAACTTTGGCCAACTGAAGGCCAGACTGGGGAAAGTCTCCTGGGATAGGTTACTGGAAGGTAAGCGAGTTGAGGAGGGGTGGATGGCACTCAGAAGGGAGGTTTTGGAGGCAAATACCACTAATTAGTAAGATAGGGAGGCGGAGGAGAGCGCCAGCATGGATGTGAAAGGAGATAGTTAGAGGGATTAGACGAAAGAGGAACCTCCGTAGGAAAAGGACACTGGGGCAAATAGACAAAAGGGTATACCAGGAGGAGGAGGCCCGTTGCAGAAGGATTCTTCGCAAGGCTAAGGCTGATTACGAGCTGAGACTTGCCAAGAATATCAAGAGCAATAAAAAGGGCTTCTTTCAGCATGTAAATAGGAAGAGGAAGGGGAGACAAGTGGTGGGACCACTAAATAAGCAGGAAGGAGATCCAGTGACTGATATGAGGGAACAGGCACAGATGCTAAATGACTATTTTGCCTCTGTGTTCTCCCCAAAGCAGGACGGGGGAGATCCGCACAGGAAATTAGTTGAGGCTGGGGGCTTAGGGGCACAGATTAGAGTCACCCCACTAGAAGTCGAGGGGCTCCTCAGGGCACTGGACATTACAAAGGCGCCAGGCCCTGACGGGTTACACCCAAGAGTACTTAGAGAGTTGGCAGGAGTTCTCTCATGCCCACTGGCCTCCATTTTTGAGGCCTCGTGGAGAACGGGTGAGGTTCCAGAGGCGTCAGTGGTTCCAATTTTAAAAAGGGTAGAAGAAGGAATGTGGGGAATTACAGGCTGGTTAGCCTTGCGTCCATTGTAGGAAAAACAATGGAAAGGCTCATAATAGTGAGAGATCTAGTAACCCTGGATAGGGAAGGGAGGCTGACAGCCACACAACATGGCTTCCTCAAAAACACGTCCTGCCGGACAAACCTTGTGGAATTCTACAAGGTTTCGAGGTGGCTAGATGGAGGGGATGCTGTGGATTATCTGGATTTTGACAAAGTGCCCCATGACATCCTGGTTGAGAAACTGAGGAGTTTTGGGACAGACCAAAGCACTGTCCAATGGATTAGGGCATGGTTGGCTGATTGAAAGCAGGGAGTAACCATTAGTGGGGAATCATCAGGATGGCGGCCAGTGACAAGCGGGGGTCACAGGATAGGTGACAAGTGGCTGGAGAGCAGCACTTGTGAAAGGGGCCTCGGGGTGCTGGTTGACTGCAGGCTAAACATGAGTCAGCAGTGTGATGCGGTGGTCAAGAGGACGAACGCCACCCTTGGTTGCATAGCCAGAAGTGTGGCTTCTAGATCAAGAGAGGTATTACTTCCACTTTATACGACTCAAGTGCGCCCGCAACTGGAGTACTGTGCTCAGTTTTGGGCCCCACATTACAGGAAGGATAAAGCCAGGTTGGAGTCAGTGCAGCGTAGGGCCACAAGGTTGGTGGCCGGTTTGCAGGGGATGCCGTATGAGGCGAGACTGAGGGAACTGGGTCTCTTCAGCCTGGAGAAGAGGAAACTCAGAGGGGATATGTTGGCGACATACAGGTGTGTGAGGGGTGTCACATGGAGATGGGTAGAGACCTGTTCTCCCCTGCAGAGAAGGCAGAACGCGCTCCAACGGAGCAAAGCTCAGGGAGCCAAGGTTCCGTTTGGATGCCAGGAAGCACTTCCTGCCAGTAAGGACCCCGAGGGTGTGGAATGGGCTTTCCCGGGAGGTGGTGGAGGCCCCATCGGTAAGGGCGGTGAGGGCATTCAAAGATAGCCTGGACATGCGCATGGTGGGCATGTGGTGAGCGGAGCCAGCTGGAGCAGGGGTCAGACTAGATGGCCCAGGAGGTCCCTTCTGACTAGCTCTGTTTCTATGTTTCCATGTTTTCTTTTCTTGAAATTCACCATTCTGCTGACATAAAGGTCCAGGGGGCCCTGGGGATCTCTGTGGCATCCGATCCCCCTGGGCTGGGGGTCTTTGGGCCGCCAGTGCCTCCTTGCCTGCCCCTACTCAAATCTTCCTGAGTTCCCAATCTTCCCAAATCAAGGAGCTTTTTGGAGACAGGGTCCTGGAAAGACACGCACGCTCCAGATGTGGACCCTGTGTAAATCAGTCCACGCAAACTGAGCATGCCTGTGTGACCGGCTTTGCGCAGAGCACTGCGGGAGCCAGCCCTGTCCCAGCCAAGCGGTGCAGCACCGCATTGCTTTGGAAAGCTACTGGGCTTCAGGCTCAGAACCTCCAGCGGAAGGTGGGCAAGAGACCTGCTCAAAAACCGGGAGAGGCGCTGATGGGGCTGATGGTCCTGGAGGGCCGCCACAGGGACTCACCCCCCAGCCAGAGGGGACGGCATGCTAGGAGCAAAACTTGGACGATCCCTCTGCAGTGGGCTGCCACCCGTGGCCACCGAATACGCAACCATCTCTTCAAAGAATAGGAGCAGAGCTGCTCAAAAGCCGGCTTTACTACTCAATTGTTACCCATCACACGGACTGCGGAGCCTTCCCGGGGGAGACCTTTGATTCCTCGGCTAAACATTGCCACATTATCTCTCTCGCTATGGGCGAACGCTCTGCTAGCTTCATGGGAATCGCTAGCTCTTAAAAGAGTAATCTCTGCAAAAGGGGGAAACAAAGCCATCTAAATTTCCAATCAGAGGCATGTAAATGCACAGACACGATCGTCAAGCTACCACGCAGGGCCATTTTGCATCCTGTGGGGCGAAACGCCGTTTCAAGCTTTGGAGGGATTCCAAGATGATCCAGGCTATGGCATAGTGAATGAAGCACTGGAGGGGACCAGGAGACCGGGGTCCTAGTCCCCTCTGAACCATGGAGCCAGCTGGGTGACTTTGGGCCAGTCACTCACTCTCAGCCTAACCTACCTCACAGGGTGGTTGTTGTGAGGCTACAATGGAGCTATGCAAGCCGCTTTGTGCTCCTCACAAAAGAAGCAACAGCAAGATATGAATGCGATGTAATAATATCAGGTTTTACGACTCGCACCATTGTGGTCTGGTGCTGAGATCAGTGGAGGAAAAGGCGGTTTCAGAGTAAATTGAAGTTATGTGCACTGTTCTGGGAGTGTTTGCTAAAGAACAGGTTATGAAAAGTTAAATAAATAAAATAATAGCAATACATCAATACAGCCTAATGGAAGGCAAAGTGGTCTCTGATAACGGGAGCTGCACATTTTGAATGCAAACCACACCAGCTCTGATCCCCTTTTTAGAGACCAGATTCACAACCACAAGGAAAAAGAAGGCACAGTGTGAGCAGTACCCAAGCGCCTTTGCAGCTTGCAGGTTCCCAGCAACGTGCGTGGGAGTGGGTTCAAAGCCATCCCAGTTTTCCTGCGCTTGGGCCTGGCAGTTACTCACCGAGAATAAATAAGCGCGCTGTCCGGCGCAGCTGGCCTGTTGGGTGGGGAAAAGCAACCACCGCGCCTGCTTTTCCCGATTGTGCAACCCCGACAGCTCAAAGGCTTAGGTTTGCATTGCCATTTGGAACGAGGCCGTTTTCACACACGCGCGCACACACGCGTCTGCAGGCAGCCACACCCCACGCCCGGTCCCTGGCGCGCCTGGTTGAAAGTTCAGGCGACCGCTGAGGGAAAAGCCAAGCTGCACCAAAGGAGAGCAGCCCTCCGGGGGTGCGGACTGCAAGTCCCATCACTGCCAGGTAATGTGCCTGGGGATGATGGGAGCTGCAGGCCGAGACACGCAGAGATTACAGGGCGCCCGGGTTGCTACGTTGCCTTCCCCAACCTGCTGCCCTCCCGTCGCTTTGGGGGCAGCTGGGAGGATGATGGCCCAAAGGGCTGAGCAAGCAGGAGTGAGCAATGAGTAGGGCACTGTGGGTCTCTGCTATGGGGATGCAGTTCTGGGGGAAAGCAGCCAAGCAGCTCCGCGGCTCTGCCACCCTCAGCCCTGCAAAAGTGGAGGGCGCAAAGATGTTTCCGGCGCCCCTGCCCAGGCCAACCGCCCCCAAGGAGGGGCGCCCCCCCCCCACCGGGCGCTGCCGCCATCTTACCTGCTGCAGCAGTGCCGGCCAATCACGCAAGAGCTGGGCGGGAAGGCGCGCGCCGGGAAAAGGTCCGGGGGCGGAGCTGGGTTGCCCCGCTGCAGTAGCTCCCGTGGACACTGGAGGGCGCAAGGAGCTCAGGAATGGCGCTTTTTTATCTCCAAACTGGCATACGACACGTCTGCCAAAGACTTACCAGAACTAAGCATTGGAGAGCCAATCCGTATGAAGCCACTTCCTGGCGACAGGACTGGTCGCTGGAGACTGGGTACCTGTGTTCAGAGGGTTGCCCCTCGCTCTTACGTTGTGGATGTGGATGGCAGTCTCTACCGTCGCAATCGAGTGGATCTGCAGGTGGCAGAACAACCCACCTCACAAGCTTATGAGAGTCCTGCACATGATTCTCCGGAGGTGTTCAATGCCCCCAGTCCCGCTGGACCAAGTAAGCAATATAGAGACAAGGCTACTGTCATATCTGAAGGAAACAATGAGGACGAAATAATGCAACCACACATACCAGTAAGTTCTTCTGTACCAAACACACCAGTCAGGAAACAGGACAGTCTCTTATCAACACCTCCTGGAACTAAACAGCCTTCACCAGGCAACATCCCTGTGGCCTTGCGAAGCGGCCGAGTTTCAAGACCTCCAGACAGACTTAATCTGTAGCCTATTTACTAATAGTACAGTGTGTTATGTTTCAGATTGTTTGGGATCTGTTTTGAGTCTACTTGTTTACACACTGTTGAACCATATGTAAAAAAGGGGAGATGTTATGGAGTTACTATAACTACATAGAAACATAGAAAACAGAGCGAGTCAGAAGGGGCCTCCCGGGCCATCTAGTCTGACCTCTGGCACCAGCCGGCTCCACTCACGACATACCCACCATGTGGACATCCAGCCTATCCTTGAACACCCGCACCGATGGGGCCTCCACCACCTCCCCTGGAAGCCCATTCCACACCCTCAGGGTCCTGACTGTCAGGAAGTGCTTCCTGGCATCCAAATGGGACCTTGGCTCCCTGAGCTTTGCTCTGTTGGAGCGCATCCTGCCTTCCTCTGCAGGGGAGAACAGGTCTCTACCCATCTCCATGTGACATCCCCTCACATACCTGTACGTCACCAACATATCCCCTTGAGTCTCCTCCAGGCTGAAGAGACCCAGTTCCCTCAGTCTCGCCTCATACGGCATCCCCTGCAAACCGGCCACCAACCTTGTGGCCCTATGCTGCACTGACTCCAACCTGGCTTTATCCTTCCTGTAATGAAGGTCCCAAAACTGAACACAATACTCCAGTTGCAGGCGCACTAGAGTCATGTAGAGTGGTAGTAATACCTCTCTTGATCTAGAAGCCACACTTCTGACTATGCACCAAGGGTGGTGTTCGCCCTCTTGACCACCGCATCACATGGCTGGCTCATGTTTAGCCTGCAGTCAACCAGCACCCCGAGGCCCCTTTCACAAGTGCTGCTCTCCAGCCACTTGTCACCTAACCTGTACTTATGACAGCTATTCCTATGCCCCAAGTGCAAGACCTTGCACTTATCCACATTGAACGCCATCCTGTTGTCTCCTGCCCACTTCCATAGTCTGTCCAGATCCTTTTGGAGCTGGAGTACCTGCTCCTCAGTTGTGGTCACTGCTCCAGTTTTAGTGTCGTCTGCAAATTTGATCAGCAGACTGTTCACCCCTTCATCCATGTCGTTAATGAAAAGATTAAACAGGATCGGCCCCAGGACAGAGCCCTGGGGGACCCCGCTTGTCACTGGCCGCCATCCCGATGATTCCCCGTTAAAGGTTACCTTCTGCTTTCGGTCAGTCAACCATGCCCTAATCCACCGGACAGTGCTTTGGTGTATCCCAAAACTCCTCAGTTTCTCCACCAGGATATCATGGGGCACTTTGTCAAAGGCCTTGCTGAAATCCTGGTATACCACATCCACTGCATCCCCTCCATCTAGCCATCTTGAAACCTTGTCATAGAATTCCACAAGGTTTGTCTGGCAGGACCTGTTTTTGCGGAAGCTGTGTTGTGTGGCTGCCAGCCTCCCTTCCCTATCTAGCATCACTAGATCTCTCTCTATTCTGAGCCTTTCCATTGTTTTTCCTACAATGGACGCAAGGCTAACCAGTCTATAATTCTCCATGTCCTTTCTACTACGTTTTTTGGAAACTGGGACCACCCTCCAGTCCTCTGGAACTTCACCCATTCTCCACGAGGCCTCAAAAATGGAGGCCAGCGGGCATGAGAGAACCCCTGCCAACTCTCTAAGTACTCTCGGATGTAACCCGTCAGGGCCTGGCGCCTTTGTAATGTCCAATGCCCTGAGGAGCCCCTCGACTTCAAGGGGGGTGACTCTCATCTGTGCCCCTAAGTCCCCAGCCTCATCTAATCTGTGCGGATCTCCCCCGTCCTGCTTTGGGGAGAGGCAAAATAGTCATTTAGCATCTGTGCCTGTTCCCTCATATCAGTCACTGGATTTCCTTTCTCCTTATTTAGTGGTCCCACCACTTGTCAGCTCGTAATCAGCCTTAGCCTTGCGAAGAATCCTTCTGCAACGGGCCTCCTCCTCCCGGTATACCCTTTTGTCTATTTCCCCCGGTACCCATTTCCTACGGAGGTTCCTCTTTCGTCTAATCCCTCTAACCACCTCCTTTTGCATCCATGACGGCACTCTCCTCCGCCTCCCCACCTTACTGACTAGAGGTATCGTCAAGGCTTGCGTCTCCAAAACCTCCCTTTTGAATGCTATCCACCCCTCCTCAACCCACTTACCTTCCCGTAACCTATCCCAGGAGACTTTCCCCAGTCTGGCCTTCAGTTGGCCCTCTTGAAGTCCCAGCTTCTAGTGCTCGACCTGCTGCCCGTCCGCAGTCCCCTGATCTCAAAGCAAAGGATGGAGTGATCACTCGCATCCAGGGCTCCCCTAATCTGTACTTCATCTATCAGCTCCTCCCTATTGGTCAAGACCAAGTCAAGGATATTTCCCCCCCTCGTCGCCTCTCGGACCCTCTGTGTGGAAAACCCTCCCTCAATAGCTTCTAGGAAGCGATATGACCTGGCTGTCACCGCCGAGTGAGTCTCCCACGTTGTTATTATTATTATTATTATTATTATTATTATTATTATAACATTTCTATGCCGCCCCTTGCCGAAACCTCGGGGCGGCTTACAACATGATAAAATACATTGAAATACAATAGTACATAATAAATTACCATTAAATATAAAAATACAAAAAATACATTGATTTACAAATACAAAATTAAAATTATCAGTACAAAATAAAAATATAGGAGGAGAAAGAGAAGGAAGAAGAAGTTGCCCAGGCCAGATCATATGTTTTAACAATTGAAATGATGTTTAAATAAAAAGGTCTTTACCTGGCGCCGAAAAACCAGTAACGACGGTGCCAGGCGGGCCTCTTTGGGGAGTGAATTCCATAGGTTGGGCGCCACTGCAGAGAAAGCCCTCCTCCGGGTACTTACTCTCCTAATTTCTTTCATGGAGGGTTCCCGGAGAAGGGACTCTCCCGCAGATCTCAAAGGGCGGTCGGGCATATACGGACGTAGGCGCTCGTTCAGGTAGCCAGGACCCAAGCCGTTTAGGGCTTTGTAGGTCATAATCAACACCTTGAATTGGGCCCAGGCTTCAATGGGAAGCCAGTGAAGCTGATGGAGGACTGGAGTCATGTGAGCATAACGCCCCGTCCCCGTCAGCAACCTGGCAGCTCTATTTTGCACCAATTGAAGTGTTCGGACTGTCTTCAGGGGAAGCCCCACGTAAAGCGCGTTACAGAAGTCTAGGCGGGAAGTCACCAGCGCGTGTGTCACCGTCGCCAGGCAGTCGTATTCCAGGTAGGGGCGCAGCTGATTAATCAGCCGAAGCTGAAGGAAGGCGTTCCTCGCTACCGCTGTCACCTGAGCTTCCAAAGAAAGCTCCGGGTCGAGGAGTACTCCTAAGCTGCGGACCTTATCCCTAAGAGGGAGTGTTGCACCATTCAGGACCAGGTCAAATCCACCCTCTCCGAAACCCGATCCGCCAACCAACAGGACCTCCGTCTTGTCTGGGTTGAGTTTCAGTTTATTGGCCCTCATCCATTCCCTTACCTCGGCCAAGCACCGGTTCAGCACAGCCACTGCCTCACCTGGATTAGTGGAGAATGAGAGGTAAAGCTGGGTATCATCAGCGTATTGATGATTCCGCAGCCCACACCTCCTGATGACCTCTCCCAGCGGTTTCATATAGATGTTAAATAGCAGAGGGGATAGGATGGAGCCCTGTGGTACCCCATGGCATAGCTGCCATGACGTAGAGACATGGTCCCCCAGCACTACCTTCTGGAATCGACCGTCGAGATAGGAGCGGAACCACTGCAAAGCAGTGCCTCCAACCCCCAATCCCGCAAGTCTATCCAGAAGGATACCATGGTCGATGGTATCGAAAGCCGCCGAGAGGTCCAGAAGAACCAACAGGGATGTACTCCCCCTGTCCTTCTCCCTGCACAGGTCGTCGTACAGGGCGACCAAGGCAGATTCAGTACTGTACCCGGGTCTGAAGCCGGACTGAAAAGGATCCAGATAATCAGTTTCCTCCAAGAGTGCTTGGAGTTGTCCTGCCACCGCTCGCTCTAACACCTTGCCCAGAAACGGGATGTTGGCCACTGGTCTATAGTTAGTGGCCATCTCTGGATCCAGTGACGCTTTCTTCAGGACCGGTCGTATTACCGCCTCCTTTAAAGGGGCAGGCACTCGACCCTCCCTCAGAGAAGCGTTAACCACTTCCAAGATCCAGCTCCCAATCCCGTGCTTGGAGTTATTTATTAACCAAGACGGGCAAGGATCCAATAGGCAAGTGGTGGGACGTACTCTTCCAAGCACCTTGTCCACATCATTGGGCCGCAATAATTGAAATTCCTCCAGTAATTTTGGACCAGACGGTGGCATTGGCGACTCCTCAGAGACCTCTGATTCATTAGTGGAGTCCAGCTCGTGACGAATCTGAGCGATTTTCTCCCTGAAAT